AGTGGTCACTTTCTCATCCTGGATTTTCTGGGCCCGGATGGCCTTGTGCAACAATCTCTCATTGGCCTCGGCTCTTGCATGATTAACAGCGAGGATCTTGCTATCCAGCTCCGCCGGGTCCCGGGACGAGGTTACTGGCTCGGTATCCCCTGGCAAGCGTGGATGCGTCCCGTATACTAAGTAAAAGGGACTTTTGCCTGACGTTGCATGTTCCCTAACCCTTGTGGCGAACAGGGCTTGGGCCAAGTAAAGATCCCATACTCTGGTGGGCTTGCCCATACAATACTTAGTGAGCATTCGTCCTAGCAAGCCGTTGAGATTCTCTACCTTCCCATTCGTTCGTGGGTGGTATGGCGTCGTTGTCCGGTGTTTCGCATTTACCAGCTTGATAAAGTACTGTACCGAGGCCGCGAGCAAGTTGGCGCCATTATCCGTCAAGAACTCCGCAGGTGCGCCATACACCGTGAAGATGTCGTCGTGGAGAAATTCGGCGACAGCTTCCTCTGTGGCCTCCGGCAAGGCTTTTGCAAGTGGCCAGCCAGTGGCGTAATCGATCGCCGTAATAATCCATCGGTTGCCGCTTGGCGTCGTGGGTAGCAAGCCGATAAGGTCAATGCCCCATCGTTCAAAAGGCTTGATGCCCGCGCTCGCTAAGTACTGGGACGCTTCTCGCTCGAAACTCTCATTTCTCGATTTCGACACTTGGCAATTCGGACAAAGGCGCACTACTTCCTCGGTGTCCTGCCGTATTCCGGGCCACCAAGCGCGGGTACGGAGCACTCCGCGCAGGCCTGGGTGGCCCAAGTGTCCATATTCCTCGTGCATCCGCTTCAGGAAGTCCTTCCTGAAAGGCGGCTCTAGATATGGGGCGGAGGATCCGTCCCCATATAGGTAGGTAAGCTTCGTATTCTCTTCCTGCGTTGCAGCTGTCGGCAAGGGCGATTCGTGTATCGCGAGCTTGCCAGCCCAACGCATGACTTCTCGGCGAAGCGACTTGTCGTCCGGCAAGCTACCGGCCGACATATATTGAATGGTGGCGGCAAGCCATTCCGCTTCGTCGAATCCGCCCACTTTTGTCATCATGTTTAGTTTTCCCCAAGCAGGTGCTTCCCAGGCCATATTAGCTGGTCCCTCTCCGAGAAAGTCGGGGCGCCGGCTAATAGCGTCGGGAATAATTGCTTCCTCTCCTTTCCGGTACCGTAGCTCGAGGTCATATGCCTGGAACTCGTCAATCCAGCGAGCAAGTCGCTTGCTGTACGCTCTCGTGGTTGCCAGGTATTGAAGACCCTCGTGGTCCGTGATGACCGTGGTCCTTGTTCCATTCTCCAGGTACCTGTCCCAAGTACGGGGGGCTTCCTTGATCGCAAGGAGCTCCTTTTCATGTACTGGGTAGTTCAACTCTGCGCCTTTTAGCTTGCGGCCGTCGAAGGCGACTGGGTGCGTCTTCCCGTCGTCACCCACTTGGCAGAGCACAAAGCCGATCGCCCATTCGGAGGCATCGGTTTCTATCGTGAAAGGCTTGGCCCGGTCAGGTTGAACAAGCACTGGGGCGCTGACAAGTGCCTCCTTTAGGCGTATGAAAGCCACTTCGCATTGCTCGGTCCAAGTGATCGGCCGGAACTTTTGCTTGCGCAGTTTCTCGTCGGCTTCCTTGGTCAAGTTGTGCAAGGCCACCGCTATTTTCGCGAAGTCTTTGACGAAGCGTCGGTAGTAGGTGGCCAAGCCTAGGAAGCGGCGAACTTCATTGACATTTGTTGGCCGGGGCCACTCCTTGATGACATCTAGCTTCATCGTGACGGCTTGAATCTTGCCGTCCCCGATGATATGGCCGCAGAATTCCAACTCTTTGGTGACGAACACGCACTTTTTCGGTTTGGCATAGAGCTTCTGCTTGCGCAAGCACTGCAGCACTTCCTCCAAGTGGGTGTAGTGCTCTGCAAGTGTCCTTGAGTATACCAGTATATCGTCCAAGTACACCACGACCGACTTGCCTAGGTAAGGGCGAAGTGTCTCGTTCATTAATGTCTGGAAGGTGGCTGGCGCATTACAAAGCCCAAATGGCATTGCTCTCCATTCGTACTTCCCCCAAATGGTGTTGAAGGCTGTCTTTGGTATTGCCTCCTTGGCCATCCGTACTTGCCAATATCCGGCCGCCAAGTCGATCTTCGACAAGTACTTGGCCTGGCCGACGATGTCCAGCAAGTCCTGAATCCTCGGGATGGGGTATCCATTCTTAGCGGTGAGTTCATTAAGGGCGCGGTAGTCGATACACATTCTCCACGCTCCTTCGGGCTTCTTGACGAACACCACCGGGAATCCCCAGGGACTGGCTGACACCTGGATCAATCCCCTATCCAGCAAGTCCTTCACTTGCTTCCTAAGCTCCTCGAGCTTCTCGTGGGACAGGGGGTAAGCATTCATGTTTACCGGGTCGGCGGTACCGGTATCAATGTGGTGGACGAAGTTGCGTTCGGGGGGTAACTCCTTCGGCAAGTCGTCGGGAAAGACGTCGGCGAACTTCCTGAGCAGCTTGGCCAAGCGAGGGTCGTTGGTCGTTGGTTCATGGTCCTCGCTCGCCGTGGCATAAAAGACTGCGTACTCGGTGTTCTTATCTTTTAGGGACCGGCGGACCTCCCTCTTTGACAGTAAGTTCAACGTCCCTTTCTCCTCCCCACTAAGTGCACGGCCGTCCGCTGCCTGCACTTCGTGATCTCCATTATGGTCGGTGAGCCACATCCTTTTCGTGGGGAAGCTAACGTGGGGGTCGTGCTCGCATAGGAAGTCGTTGCCGAGTACTACATCGTATCCTTCCACGTTGACTGCCCACACCACTTTCGTACCGGTCCACTTGCCCAGGCGAATCACCAGTTCCATCGTACCCTGGGTATACAGGGTCTCGCCGTTCGGTAATGACACTGGTAACGATCTGCGCTTGTCCCACTTGCCACCTAGGCGGCGAGCGGTTTTCAACGATACAAATGTATGGCTTGCTCCGCAATCTAGCAGCATACGGCAAGCGATGGGGTTTCCGGCTGCGGCGGGGCGATGGAGCGAGCCGTCGAAGAAGTTAAGGTCTTCCCCGAGAGCATTTAGTCTCATCACGGCTCGTTGGGTGTCCCGCCCTTTCCGGCTTTGGCTAAGCCCGTCATTTTGCTTGTCGGGGCGACGTGGCTTGGTGAGCGGGTCAGCAGGCTCGCCTAAGCTTGCTGACCCTGTCCTTTTCCCTTGACCTTGCAGTTTCTTTTGATGTGTCCTGGCTTGCCACACTTATAGCAAGTCCTCGTGTCCTGCATGGCCGATAGGTCCATGGCGTCGGGAAGCGGGGCAGTACGCCCATTCCTAACATAACGTGCTGGGCGGCCATACGCGGTTGCTTCCTGCGCGCTTCGTTCAAGCTCCAGCAGGAGGTTGACCGCTTCCTCGACGTTGGTCTCGGGTCGGCCCTGCTGCCTGAACCACTCTGCACGGAGGGTCGGGTTCAGTCCCGATACTAGTTGCAGAATATATCCTCTTTCCGAGGGGCTCTCTAGTAAGTTACGGGAGAGTTCCAGCAGGGCGGCGTGGTACGCGGATAGAGAGTCATTTCCTTGTTGCTTGTGCGTATACTCGCGCAAGCGATCTGACTCTGCCGTTCTTGGTTCGAACTTGGTCCGAACCCAGGCCTTGAAGTTCTCCCATGTGGTGATCCGTTCGCCAAGTCCTGCGTCTACTTGCTGGTTGGCCGTCCTCCATTTCACATGGGCGTCTCCGGCCAGCAAGCCCGAGGCAAAGGCTAGTTTGTACGTCTCGTCGTCGCTTCGGCCGCTCACCATTTGGCGGCGCAGGAAGTAGTCGTCGACGTCGTACAGCCAGTGGTTAGCAGCGTTGCCTTTCTGGTTGCCTTGGTACTTGGCCGGTTGGCCTAAGTCTTTTAGGCGGCCCGCGATCTCCGCTGGGTGAGGGCCGACTTTTGGCTCCATGGCCCTTGGGTTCTGAGCCAGTCCCGGGTCGAACGTTGTCGACATCGTAACGATGGCCTCGTATTGCACGGCCATCATTTCCGGGCTGTTGGTCACTTGTTGGAAGATTGCCAGCCTTTGCAGCGGCTCCGGCAAGCGGTCGAAGGCCCTCTGCATGTTCGCTGGCAGGTGAGCCCTAAAGATTCCGGGCGTCACGGCCTGGTCCGTCGGCGGGGTCGTCTCCGCTTGCTGGAACTGTTGCTCTTCTTCAAAGGGTTGGTTCTCCATTGTAACAAGTGGCTTCAATTGGGGTTTCGGCAAGTTGGTGCTTAGTCTTAGGAGCTTCTTGCTCTGTTCCTTTCCCAACTGCTTCTGCTTCTTGGGGGCCCCCACTTCGCCCCCAAGGATACGGATCCTTGACCTCTCGCAGAGTTTTTCTTGGTGTACCTCTATCACCAAGTCTTTGGTACCGGCTTGGTGAGAGGTCCACCGCACTCTGTTTCATGGTCCCTGGATCGAAAATTCCTCGCGGCAGGGGCTTGTTCGAAGCCCTCACCTGCTGCCTGGCTTCCTGGGTATGCTTGTTGGTCCCAGGAACCGGCGAGGAAGCATGGCTTCCTCCGTGGATGCCACTGCCTCCTCCCAGCTTACCGTAGGAGGTAAGGCCTTAGCAAGACATGCTACCAGATGAGATTCTGTTAGGATCGCATGGTTTTCATTGGGTAGTAGTAATTACTAGCTAAATACAGAATGTATTACATCAGCGCCAAGCAAGGGCTTGGCCCAGAGAAAACCCCTTGGTAATAGGCACTCGCTACCAATGACTTGGCCGAGTGCCAAGAAGTATTGTCCTGAGGCATCCAGCAAGTGGCTGCCTCAGGCACCGAGAGTAAGCAAACCCTGCAAACCTCTCGGGAGCACACAAGGGATAAGAAGAGGTCACGTGCACTATATCCAGGGAAATATTTCTTACAGCATTATGTTACTCCGCGTAATGTAAACTGTGACCTCACCCTCCCAGCATCGAGCATTTCCTCTTCCCTCAGTTACACTCTTTACACAATGCTCTCAGACAACGAGCAGCTTCAGCCTACCCATGTGCAGCTGGATATCGCAACAAACCAAGCTCGAACCTATTGGCATCAGCTTGCCGAGGAGGTTATTGCAGACCATGAAGGTGGAGTCCTTCTCGGATCAAGTGTTTTACAGAACCTGCTTTGCAGAGTCCCTTCTATACCTACTCAGCCCCTGGCCGTCAATGAGGTACTTTCCTCCGATACCACCACGAAATCAGTTTTGGCTGCTGCATCATCAACAATGCGCGTGGTTGAGCCAGGGGGATGCGAAGTCGGAGGCAAATCAAAAGAAAATAGAGCAACCTTGCTGATCGGCATCCAGACGCCAACCACCTGTCAGTTTTCTGGAGACGCCTTCCGTCAATGGCGGACGACGGGAACTGCCAAGCCAAATTCTTCAAACTACATCGGGATCTTGTCTCTTGCTTGGTCCTACATTCTCTCAGCCCGTTTGTTGGAACTTCAAAACCAAGATGGTGCCGAGCTTGTTTATACTAGCTCAACGGCAAACGGCTTGCTTTCCAGAATCCTCCACTCAAATCGGTGGTTCAAAAACTTAGATACGGAACCCGCCGGGCGTAATATCGTAAACTCTTCGTAATCATCGTCGTCAAAGACCTCGAAGGATACGGCTTCGATGACTCGAGGTATTGGCCAGGTATATTCCTAGACCATCAGGCGTATCTCCACAGGCAGGCTTGGAAAGTGACGGAAGTCTGAGTCGTTCAGGCAGCTCATGTTTCCCGCCAGGACCGAGCCAGCAGTTTTTCAGTCTCTGTATAAGCAAATCGCCTTCGGAGGTAGGTTTATAATATTGGAATAAAAATCTCTAGAGGAAAGTTCAGCAGTGATGCGAGGCAAAATATACGATTATTTGCCGCACTTTGACTTGTGCTACAAGTTACTAGCCTATAGCCTTTTGGCAGGAAAATGGATATTGGCATTGTATTGACTCGTCAGATACAAATGTGTACACGTAGCCAGGCCCACTTTAATCTACATCTGGACTAGCTTACCCACAATTGTCGAACAGAAAAGGGCTATGAGCACCGGTCTAGGAATTAATGGAAACTAATTGACAGACTCGTGGGCAATCTCGCCGGCGTTCAATGCTAAGGTAGGAGCTTGGTCAATTAGACACCAATTTTGGTCATGATCTAACAACGAAAGATTGCAATCTCTTTCCACAGAAGCTGGTTGGTGAGGCCTTACTGATGCTCACTTCACCGGCCTTAGCAAGTCCTGAGCTAGATATGCAATAAGCCTGCAACGAGATGAACAGTTGACCATCCTGCTTATCCTTGGCCCTGGAGAAACTCCAATCCGTGGTTTCTTACAGTTAAACAGATACTGGGTTCCTGGGTAAAGGAAAATGGCTGGGCACAACGAAAGAAAAGAGGGTTATTCCTCCCGCTGTCAAGCTATTTCCCTTTGGTTGCAATATTGTTCGGTATTGCATATTAATACAATCCAACGCTGAGGATATTGTATGAATATTAAAGGAATACGTGTGTAGGCGGATGCACAAACCATTGGAGGGAGAGATACTAATGACTGTGGAAATCGTGAATTCCTATGACTTTCCACATTATCTCGAACATCACAACAGTAGTTGTTAGTAGTTGTTCAATGGCTGGACTCCACCGGACGCCATCTGCCCCGCAAATTGTTTGTTTATTGACGGCCCTTTCTTATCGAAGCGAACAGATCATTGAAGGCATCACTTCTGGTAGTTCGGGTAAGACGAGAGTTAAAAAAATGTGCGATTTTTTACGCATTATTTAGATCTCTTCATGATTAAAGTTCGGCCAGAATAAGCTGGTCATAACTTGAAAGTTTAATTGCATGGAGCAACTAGTTGAGAGAACTGAACTATAGTAATAAACAGGCAATTAAAGTGATGGCAGGGAGACGAATCTTCGATGAAATGAACAATCTGCTTAGCCGAGGCTTGAAGTAAACAGTTGTTTGTAGTTACTCGTTTTGCACAGCATCACAATTTTCTAAGATCTGTCATATGACCAAATAAACCAGATTGTGAGGCCAGATCGGTTGAACAACTTTAAAAAATAATTGTTTGCATATTTGCATAGAAATTAGTTGGCCATGTTACCTAACCCGTCGAATCAACCCTCCCCTCTCTCGCCCATGCAATCTGGTTAATAAACCTATTTAATTACCGGCCCCTGCATTTTCTGTCCGCAAATCTTACTTTTCCGCCCTCCAGCCATAATGAAGTTTTATATCAAGGATGTTGGATCACATGGTTTGTGAGAAGAAGACCCAGGCCCTCAATCTTTAAACTCTTACAACCAGATCCTCACTTTTTAATACTTCGCTATTTTTACGATTTATAGTTTATGGCGAATTTGAAACCTTCACAGTATCATAGTAGCAAACGTGTGAACTGAATAAGCGATGCACGATTTGTGGCCGTAGAAAATATACGTTTTGTCTGACCTACCTATGTGGGCTTGGTTGGTACTAAGCCGTGACGTCGCCCAAGCGGTTGCATAGAGAATTATGTCCTCATCCAAAGATCATCATGTTGATTAATTGGCCTCGTCATTGTATCATAGCTGCTAAGAATTGGGTGCTTGTTAAATCCCCGCGATTCTCCGGTTTTGGCAAAGACATCACGAACTCGAAGCGTACATACTATGGGACAAAAAGTGATGGCAGGGAGAGTGGGGTGTAGATTCGATGAAATGAACAATCTGCTTAGCCGAGGTTTGAGGTAAACAGTTATTTGTAGTTACTCGTTTTGCACACCATCACAAGTTTCTAAGATCTCTCTCATTATGACCAAATAAATCAGATTCTGAGGCCAGACTGGTTGAATAACTTTGAATGATAAATTTTGCATAGAAATTACTTGACCAGGTTACCTAACCCTCCCCTCTCTCGCCAATGCATTCTGGTTAATAAACCTATTTAATTACCGACCCCCAGCGTTATTTTTTCCGCAAATCTTACTTTTCCGCCCTCCAGCCATAATGAAATGTTACTTCGTCTAATCCATAGCATGTTCGCGTTCCCCCTCGTCAAAGATACGTAGGCGTGACCCTCCGATGCTCGCAAACTCTAATACACAGACCGGTGTGTTGAGTGACGGCGACTCCCTGGTCACCGCTGTTCCCGGCTACCAAGGCAATCCTACAGTCCTAGTCGAGCATACAAAGGTCGGCGGGAGATTGCGCATGAAATTTGAGTAAAAGAAATAGAAGCTGAAACAGATTCGCATTATATATCTAATCGCCTGTTGACCATCCGATTTTGGTATTCGTAAAGCCATTAACTGGCCGGCAATGCAGCGACATCGAAGCGGCTCTGTCAGAGGATAACTTGGTAAGATATAACACACAAGCCCGAGAACTGATGGGAGGCTGTGATTTGTGTGTTTTCGTGTTGTGGTTCATGAGCCAACCTTTAGGAATACGCCGGAATAAGTAGGGTCGGGTCGCTATCAAACATCACCGGACATCTTGCACACCTCTCAGTAATGTTTCGAGGCGCCTACTATAATTCAAGGTTCGTCATCTGATCGTCAAGCGCGAGCGAAATCTATATCCGTATCATCCGCAGACGAAGCATCCCGCGCTATGGTCCAAATGCTGCCTAGCCTAGATTCCGGCTCGAGATTTCGGTGATTGAGTTGATTACGGCGACGTATAGCATCTGGCTGGCGGCGAATGCCATGGCAGTTTTTTCTTCGTCTTCAGGGTCACTAAGGTCGTCAGCCTTTTCCGTATATTTATCGAATCACCGTTGATGAGACACCTTGTCTTTGCTTTCGTCCCCTTCAAAAAATATTCATCTGCAATCCATTGGTACGAGACCTTCTGTACAGTAACTTTACTCATAGTCCCTAGTAGTTCGTCGATTGGGGTAAGCAAAATTGTGCTGACTCATTTGCTTAGCGGGGATTTTCGGTGGTGTTTGTCTTGGCAATGTTTATCTGACAGATCATCTCGTGTTATCCCTAGCACACCACTGAGGAGCACTCGACGTTCATATCACAATCAAGCCTGCGGAATCATCGATCAATCCATATGAAGCGGGCACGCTCTTGCTCCCCAGTCCCTCTGCCCCCGAATCATAAAAAGTTCGTTCGTACGATCGCTAGCCTTACCTCTGATGCTCTCCAGGAGCACGACGAATCTATTCAGCCCCTTTCTCCATTCGCTCTCTTTGATATGTTTCCTCAACAGACCGCCAGTTTATCAGATGTTCCAATCATACCTCCTCCTTCCACGCGCTCCTCACAACGATCGCGATCGAGCAGTCCGTCCCGACCGAGTGATGCACAATATCGCGCCGGCCATCTTCGACGCGCAAATATTTTCGTAGATAACGATATACCTACAGATATCTGTGATTATGCAGATGAGAAAATATTTTGTGATATGATGGACGATGCTCATTTGCACCAGATGGCCGAAAAGCTGTGGAGCAAATCCAAGGAACTTGTCAAGAAACCATCGGGTGAAGCTGAATGGACGGAAGCCTTACATACAACAATTGACGAGTTCAAGTTCAAGGGGCTTGAGGCTGTGCGTAATCGAGGCAAGCTATTATATTTCTGGTGGAAGAATCCCGGATTGAACTATTTTGGTGCTAACTTCTTAGCAAGACTGGCGCGAAGACCTGAAACCACCAGTATACAACCCTCAACCTACCATCCCACGGAAACGAAGTCAGTCACATTGCCTCGTACATGAAATCTCCGCCAGCGATAGACACTCTTCGCATGCAGCTGGATCAGGGCCCCCATTGCCAGCTACTCCTGTGTTCAAATTAAAAAACCCACGTCCAGATATATGCGTTGGGTTGTCGGATGAGAGCTTGGTCAATGACCTCGAGCCCAAGAAGGGCCGCAGTGCGGCCAGAAGCTTTCTACTAGACTTGCAAGATACCACTAGTCTTGTCAGCGATCCACACGTCACCCCCTTGGGCCTTCGTTTCCCATTTTTGATAGTCGAGGCAAAGGCTGGTTCGACTGGAGGTAACCTCTACCAGGCACAGAACCAAGCTGCGGTGGGTGGCTCAACAGCTCTTCAGATTTTGCGAAACCTTTCAGAGCTGAAGTCTGCTCAAAATTTGGATTGGGAAAGTCAGGGAAGTTCCCAGGCCAGTATTGGGCCAATTGAGACCTTACCCGACCTCATATCTCACATGGTCTTTTCTGTTACCACGGAGGGCCCGATTCATGAACTGTGGCTTCATTTTCGAAGACCAAGCGAAGAAGACTTCTATATGGTTTGCATCGGGGCCTGGAGGACGACCGTGAAAGACGACACTCTGAATCTCTTACGCTACCTTTGGGCAGTTTTGAGATGGGGAAATGGTGAATTCAGAGATAGCATTGTTGATGCTCTCGGGGCTTTATAGAATGAGGTCGGTACACAAGTCAGTAGCCAATTCGCATTTGTCAACCAATTTGGTGCATCATGACGATAATATCCTCCTTTAGCAATTCAAACATTCCATAGCGAAAGCCATTTGAATGAAAAGTACAGACGCACTCGAAATCAGTTTCATCTCTTTACTCTCTTCAATTCTTTCTTGAACGCCATTTTACATGAAGCCATGCCTTTGGTTTACCCCTAACCCACACACTTGACAGTATCTCAGTACGATATTAAATCATGACACCCTGTCTAGAATAACACACCCGCAAACAAAACAAACAGAATGGTCGGCAGGAGACTGTCGGTAGCCACCTCTCATCTCACTTTCGGTCATCCACATTCACTACATTACACAGTGGACCAGCGAAGACATACGTAGAGACAAATGGTCTTCTTGGGCCGAACGCCTACTGGAAGCGCATATTTTCCTCCCATCAGCCTGAAAATATTGCGAAAATTCTCAACAAATCCGTATGTGGCTTTTGACACATCTATCGGCTTTGCGCTCCCTGAGCTCATTCTGCAGCGATTGGAACTAGAACAACTGAGAAGGGGGTAGGGACGAAGGAGCGAAGTGAGAGAGGGCTTCAAGCAGAATAGATTGAGTAAATCCTATTTAGCACCAGAAGAAAAGCTTCTTACGAATGGGTTTATGTGCATACCGGTCAATCTCAAGATGTCTGCGAATAGACAAGTGTGTAATGAGCTGTATTGCGCAAATCGTTTATTGTTCTTTAGGCTAGTTTGGACACGTCCATTTCTCCCCCCCCCCCCCCCAAACCGTGTCGGTCGGAGACGAAGCATAACACCACCGGTGCTGGAAGCGCTCCTTGACCATTTGCTGGAAAAGTCAGGTATGTTTCTTGAGGAGATGGCTGTCTTTTTATGGGATGAATTCGAGTTGCGAGCAACGACCAGCATTAGGAGGGGCCTGGTGTCCCAAGGCTGGTCCAAGAAGACGGCCCGACAGACAGCAAAAGAGCAGAGTGCCGATTCGCGGGAAATTTGTCTTCATAACTTCTCCGAGTTTGAGTCACCTTGTTTATGTTGATGAATCTGGGTGTGATAAACGAATTGGGTTCTGACGGACAGGCTGGTCACCACTGGGTGTAGCACCACGACAGGTGTCACAATTCCACAGTGATGAGCGTTATCAAATTTTGCCTGCGTATGCCCAAGTAAGATGGTATTTTTCCTTAGTCGCGTCTTTGCGGCTCCACGGACGCCGTTGTGTTCGAAGACTTCATCGACGAGCTCCTCCATCATTGTGGAAGATGGCCGGAACCGAAGTCTGTCCTGGTCATGGACGATGCCTCGTTTCACCATTCTGAACGAATTTCGCAGATATCTGCTGATGCAGGGGTCAAACTGGTCTATTTGCCTCCGTTCTCTCCGGATCTAAATCCAATTGAAGAGTTTTTTGCGGAACTAAGTTGGCTGATTTCGAAAAGTACTACAGATTCGGAGAGTGAAGACCCATTGTTACTCGACGCAAGAGATCAGAAATGTCGGGACGGGCCGAGACGCGAACCCCTGAACCGCCGGAAGCCATGGGTGAGGAGAACGAAACTACTGTCGCCAAGATGACGTGGCTGAGCAACAAGGAAATCGCAAAGCCCTATGGATCGATGGTCGTGTACCTAACCAAAGGGACTGATGCACGGAGGATCCTGGCAGATGGATACTTCCATGTCGGAGGAGAATCCGGGACAACTAGCGTTTTTGAGTATCGACCACGACCGGTGCAATGCTACAACTGCGAGGAGGTTGGTCACAAGGCATTCCAATGCAAGAAGATCCAGAAGTGCGCAAAATGCGCGACGGAGGGCCATCACCACAGTCGCTGTGATCACACGGTTCCGAAGTGCGTTCCATGCGGTGGACCACACGAATCGTATAGCAAGAACTGCCGGAAACTCTACCCGTCACGTCATGAATAGGTCACTTCGGATAATCCAGCTGAATGTGAGGAAACAGGGAGCAGTGCACGAAAGCCTAATGAACGACGAAGATACTCAAAACGCAGTGGCGTTGGCGATCTAGGAACCCCAGGCGAGGAGGATTCAAGGCCGGCTCTTGACCACCCCGATGGAACATCACAAATGGACCAAGATGGTGCCCTCCACCTGGAGGGAAGGGAGATGCGCAATCCGAAGCATGCTTTGGGTCAATAGGGATGTGGAAGCGGAGCAAGTGCGGATCGAGTCGCCAGATCTGACAGGGGCCGTCATCCGGCTCCTGTACGCGGTCGTAAGAGCGAACCAACGATCTATCCCTATCGATGAGGTCGGCTCAAGAGTGGAGGACAACCAGAGAGATCAAACGTAACAGATTCCAGCAAATAACCAGACACATAATGGCGCTGTGGGACAACAGGATAAAAACCCAGCAAATGGCGGTCAGTTGGACTGTTTAATTCTTCCTTGGGAATTACCGCGGTCATTTTTTCAGCATCCTGTTACTTCTAAGCTCCGGTGACGGATCATGGTAGCTCCACATTGATAAACAGTAGCTTAGTCCGCACCTTAGTGGGGCGAAAAAACATTTCAAAACCACACTCAGTTCGTGTTCAACTTCTGGAATTCCTCCAGTCCGTCTGACGGCAGTTATTCCAGACTCGTCCCCTCTGCAGATGGGGGCACCTCCGAGCAGTGCTCTTCCATTATCCGCCACCTTCGCACCCCAGGCTGGAGAAGAACATGGCATTTGCCCTTGCAGAGAACATTCCTCTCGCTATTCTGTACAATTTACGAGTCTCTCTTGGTGTCTGACCGGCCACCGTGGCTGTTTATCATGTGGTTTGGAGTGGGCTTGCACCAAAGTCAAACGTCGGTTTGTTTTATGCCAGACCCACGCAAAAGCACCAGCGCCTCGACATTCTACTGTGCTACATCACGGGAGCCATTGCCTTTCTTGCCCTGGACAAAAAGGGTACCTTATTGTTGACCGATTTCCTAAGCCAGCAGCTTTCGCCAAGGAGAGACTGCAGGCTTCGTTCCTGGGAACGTCAATTGTGGTGTGGAATACTCGCTCATCCTCGCATGGCTACCGCCAATGAAGAAGATTGGAAGAGGTGAAGATAATTGGTTGCTGAGATGTGCCTACACTGCCTCTTTAGATACCTATTCATAGCTACATTTGCATCATCATCTCCCATGATGCTGTCTGAGTTTTCACAAGATATAAGATGGGCATATCTCTCAGAGCAGTTCTTCTGTTCATCTTTTCACTGTCTAAAATCTTCATCTCACAAGAAACTCACCTCATCAACCCGAACATGGCAAATCAGAAGTGCTTATGCCGTGCGCAAAGGCTCACTCTTAGGTTACAAATGGCGCTGGAAGGGCATCCGCCTTCCCAACCGTTGAAAGAGAACATATCCAAGCCTAGATCACCGAAGAGGTCGTTGTTGCCTTCTGCCTTCGATGGTGACACATTTCTTCAAAAGGAAAGCAGGAGGGAATCTTATACACTGGCACCGAATGTAAGTTTAGCTCCATGGAAAATGTTCAGGACCGAGACTGAGAGCAGCATATGATCAGGTACTCCCTCTAGCCTCCCTAACCGGGGGTATAGAAGAGGCTAGAATTGCTTCGGATTTTACAAAACGTCTGTTGCTTTAATTTCAGACGAAGGGGCGATGTGCTCATTTCGGTCGACGCGAACAGATATGGAACTGTATAAGAGAATACTGCCGCATTTAGCGTTATAGTATATTGTACATCGACAGAAGGATTGAATTAGGCTGGCTGGCTGTCGAAGTCCAACACAATCAAAAATTTACCTTCCACTAGTTCTAGTACAAAATGTCCCTGTTATTTGGCCCGAATACGAATATTATATTTTTGATCTACAGCACTGAGCTTTTGGCAAGCTCCCTCAATCCAGGCCCATCCTTTCCCTTCTAGCTACCGCTGGTTCGGAGGCTCCGAGATCTCCGTGTAAGTCTGGCTAGAGGAGCAGATGAATGGTACTCGGCCTGCATTTTATAAGCGTCCACCTGCTATTTTCAATGACCGAATAATAATTATCCACATAAAGGCCAACGGCGGTAACACTTCAGATCACGTCACTCCTGCGCCTGGTCGCCAAGCAGTTCAGAGGGCCACCTCCGATAGCCATCCGCCACCCCTCTGATTGCCGTGCTTGTATATTATGGTCTGTAGGGAAGGCCACCGTCCCCAGGAGTGACTCGGTATGAGTCTGGGCTCAGCAGATTTCCCACACACTGCTTGGCTCCGTAAACCCAGGGCTCCATCAGCCGGCTCCGCCACCCGGACCTGCTATATAATTGCGCCTAGGGGGTTAACGTAACCGGTAAACGAGTCGCCATTGTAAACGAGCCGCCACCCCACCCAAAACGCGTCTTTGAATTAGCACTTAGTTAGTTCAACCACCCACCATGCCACCAATTCGCCCTCGATCCTCTAAAAATTCAACGGAGCAAGAGGGTAGGCTTTTATTAGCTATCTAGGCTTTTAAAAATGGAGATATCAGCTCTATTGCTCTTGCTACGCGCACTTTTAATGTCCCGCGTACAACTTTACGCGACCGCCTCTCTGGCCGTACTAAACGTTATACTATACGCGCAAATTTGTAGAAATTGACAGAAACTGAAGAGGAATCTCTTTAAAAATGGATTCTCTCTATGGATTCTCGCGGATCACCTCCCCGGCCCTCTATGGTACGAGAAATGGCGGATCTTCTTCTTTAAAAGCGTAGAACTACCCCGGTCCTTTCGGTCGGCGAAAAATAGGTATATAATTTCGTTGAAAGGCGTCCTCTCCTCCCCTCCCGATTCTCGAAACGATATAACTACGAGCGTGCGAAATATGAATATCCTAAAATCATTATAGAGTGGTTTGATCTAGTTCAAAAGACGATACTTCAATTTGGAATCGATCCCGACGATATCTATAACTTTGACGAGACTGGTTTCGCGATAGGATTAACTATAACTATAAAGGTTATTACGAGGAGTAAATACTACGGTCGGCGTTTACTTTTACAACCTAGAAACCGAGAGTGGGTAACTGTTATTGAGTATACGAATACTTCTAGCTAGGCCCTTCCTCCGTATATGATTTTTAAAGGCAAAGTCTTTATTAAATCATGGTTCGACGGCCTCCCGGAGGATTAGCGCTTCGAAGTTAGTCCTAACGGCTAGACCTCCGATAAAATTGGACTTCGTTAGCTTGAAAAGCTCTTTATTCTTAGTACTACGCGTACGAAGGGGGTATACCGGCTTTTAATACTCGACGGCTACGGAAGTCATTTAATACCTAAATTTGATAAACTTTGTAAGCAAAATAAAGTTATACCAATCTATATGCTAGCGCATTTATCTTATCTTTTACAACCTCTTGATATTAGTTATTTCGTAGTGTTAAAACGTACGTACGGTCGGATAGTTGAGTTAAAAATACGGACTAGGATCAACTATATTAACAAACTTGACTTCCTCGAAGTATACCCCCGGGTACGAATTAAAGCTTTTAAATCGGAGACTATTAAAAATAGCTTCGTAGTAGCCGGTTTAGTACTATTTGGACCCGACCGAGTGATTTTAAAGCTTAATATCCGTCTTCGAACCCCGACCCCCCTAGCTAGCCGGGGTAGTGAATCGAGCCGGAATTTCACCCTAAAAACCCCCTTTATAGAGAAAGAACTACGTCGATAGGCTTTATCAATCAAAGCTCTACTTCGTATAAGATCTCGGAGCCCGCCTAGCCCGTCAGATCGTGTATTAAACTAGCTTGTAAAAGGCTTCCGTCTTACAATGTAAGGTGCTATCTTACTCGCTAAAGAAAATAAGGAATTACGCGCCGCTAACGAGAAGTAGAAGCAAAAGCGTACTAGATCCCGGAGGCAGATACCCGCCGAAGAAGGCCTCTCAGTTCAAGAAGCTTCTCAATTGATTACTGAGCCGGTGGAAACTGATGAAACACCTCCCTCCCCTCCCCGAAGAAGCCCTTCGCCGGCTTTGGAACCACGTGTACGGGCGCCAGCGAGGTGTAGTGGGTGCAGATCAATAGGGCATAAATTCAATAGATGCCCAGCTAGATAGATGATTTTAGTATATTTAATTTAATGGCGTTTTGGTTGAGATAAATGCATTTAATTTTCATACATGGAGGTGGGGTGGCGGCTCGTTTACAATGGCGACTCGTTTACAATGGCGACTCGTTTACCGGTTACGTTAGGTGGCCAATAATTATAATGATGACATAAGAAGCCAATTGAAGGACTAAACTAGTTAACTAACTAGACATGGCTTGAAACAGCCACTAACAAATACAGTGGGTGATGAAGTCAGCTGACCGTGCAAAGGCCGGTTAAATATTTCTCCATTAAAAATCTGACGTTCTTCGCGTCGAAATGCATAGGAGCTTTTCGAGATAAATACAAAATCCTTTGGAACTTCTTTCCTTCTTTCGCAGAGGAACTTCACCTTGCCGTCCATGCGATGATCACAGCAGTCCACTGCGTATAACAGCTCTGCACCTCATCATATCCATAAATCCCACAACAATTTCCCCTCCAGGACTTTATCAATGAGAATGGGGTGTAGAGGGCTCTGGAACTTACACATCAATGGTTGGTGATGGTCCGTACTATATGACTTGCAAACACTAACATACTCTCTTAGGGAAATGGTACCGCTTCTATCGCCCTCGAGGGCGGATAAGTCCCCCTGACGATGAGTCGACATTGCGAACAATCAAACATCTATGCGACAAGCCCGACAATCTTGAAGGATGGGAACCAGTCCCGTTTTCTAGCCCAATTCACTCGAATCTGGACTACATATACACTGTCGATATAGATGCAGGTACTTTCACGATCTCTTTATGGAGTGAGCTTGACGGATTATTGGCACCTTCGGCAGTACGGATGGATCTCGCCAATATCCATGAGATATCTAGCATAAATTATCATATGATGCGGAAACCTCAATATATGTTGAGTGAATATATTTGTGAGAGCAACAAGGCACAAACAAAGCAATTCGAGACGTTTGAAATGGACTTTGGCATCCCTACACCCATGAACGAGCTACAGGGGCGATTCTTTACCGACCTCGTTTTTATCTGGCGCTTTTATGTCGATGACCCTTCGACATGGAGATACAATTCTCCTATATTCAGGGTATTATGTTTTGCTTTCCTGCGTCTTGCAGCCTGGGATTTTGAGGTGTCTTTCGATTGCAACGTTGAGCTTCCGATCTCTTTCGCGTCCATTCCTCTTTGGAGCTACCCCGACGCGGACGTCTATTGGTTTCATGGATATCTTGTTGTTTTACAGGATGACCTTGAATCCATAGCCATGATAAACGGAGCCGTCTCAAAAGCTAAGTCATATATTGGCAACTCTCAACTCAGGCATGACGACGTTCGCTTAATTGTCATTTCACCACGTCATCTCGTTTTCGTGGAGCTTTCTTGCGAGGTCGTTCTGGCCTCTAGGAGCCTAGTATTGCTTTCCAACTATTCAGCAACCCAATGTTCATCTGGGTTCCGCGCTCTAGCCCGGGTTCTAACATCAAACTGCTGGAAGAAGCCTCGCGCCCATAGGGAGAAGTGGCCTGTCAACGTGCCGCCTGAGATTGTTCAGATGATTCTTCATAAACTGGAACCGCGAGATGCCGTAGCATTTTCGCAGGCATCCTTCGCTGCTGAGCAATGCTACTACGCTTCAGAATCCCAGTTCAAGAACATTGACGTGCGAAGTTTTAAGTCCTCTATACCTTGCTGCGGCAAGCGCACTGGACTGGAGACGCACGGTATTTGTTGTTCTGAATGCCATGCTTGGCAACACTTGGAATGTGTCGGTCTGGAAAATTATTCTTCCGACTATCGGTACGTTTGTATGGGCTGCCAGGAAAGAGCCTGTATGGTACTTGATCCTGGCGGGATAAATAGGTTCAGCCGTCGGAAAATTAGGGAAGGATGTCAGGTTAGAGCCGAAGGTCTTGTTAAATCACTTCAATTGCGGCTCTCCAAACCTTCCCATTTACGACCAGAGCTACAATTTCTGGGGAATCTTGACTCAGTTGCGCCTTCACTCATACAGTATACAATCCTTTTTAACCACTCCTTCTCTGGACTGGCTTATGGCTTGGAAGATAGTTCGTAACTCGCGGTCGTTAATAATTCAATTGCATTAAATGGGCCGGAAATTTGGTTCCCACTTCATCCCAGACATGAAACTGAATTATATATATCCCTTTAACCCTCAACCTCCTTTATACCATGCCTATTTAATCCATTGAAACGTCTTTAACGGGCGGGCGGAGTATCATTTTGTGCCATATGTCTCAGCATCCAATCAACTTCAACACTATCATTGCGCGCATGGAATGAGTTCCGTGGTTGGCGTTGGTTGGGAGGGCCCCACGGGATAAGACGTGCGTGCTCAGGTAGGTTTCGATGATATTCGTAGAACTTGAAATTGATCCCATGAATCATAATCGCCCAACATCTTCCAAATTGAGTGTTGGCATGCTCAAGGGCATTCTCAAGTTGTTCTAACGACGCCTGTAGGCTATCACTTGCGCGTTTCGCTTCGGCAAATGTATGATCAATGACACCTCTGTCTCCAGGGAACCGACGTTGGATACGAAGAATGATGAAGTCGGTGTAGTTGTTGTTTCGGTTTTGTTCTGGTGCAACCGTGTAGCCATTGGCCGCCGGAAAGTAGTAGTTGAGAATCCCAGAAGCCATTGCCTTCACGGAGTCTTCATAGGTGGAGTCATTTTCAACAAATCGAACGAGTTCGTTGAGGATAGGCAGGGAGAGATAAACCGCCATGGCTGTTTAAAGGCGGGAAGATAATAATTTCACGAGATGCCGTGTGCAAACGATGATTTTGATTTGCTAGGTCAAACCCAGGATGCTCATTGCTTTATATTTCTCTTTCCAGCCTTATGGGGGATAAAAGCGTCGTCATCCTGTGAGACAAATACAAAATCACCATCTTAGTTGCTGACCAATACCAAGGCCGAAACAGAAGTGAAACTGTATACCACCTATGAAAAGAGTATATTACCCGCCAGATTGTCTGCTAAATAGGACTTTCAGTCAGCACACCTATAGCTACCCCGCCTTCTCGGTCACAGTTGCAACACGTGCTGCTAAGCTACTGGCTCTCAGCTGTGTCAGGGACAAAGGCTGGGCTGACCAGGGTCAAACCAAGCAGAGCTGCAGCTTGGGGTTCCTCGCCAAGCAACGTAACCGCCGGTCAGAACAACGATGTGAAAGTTCATGCATTAGCGCAATGGCTGAGTCGTGCACATGAGAAACACACCAGATACCCATTGAGTCCACAGCCAAAACGCTGTAATCACCTAGAACCTTATTGTGCATCATGTACATGCAGCGCTCGTCATGTCTGCCTTCAAATTGCAAGGATCTGGTGTCCCAAAAGTAAAGTGTGTCCAATGATTAAAGACGCTCATTTTGGTGGCCTAACACTGGGGCGCCACATGAGACACATTATTATTCCAACGCATTTCCGCCTGTTCTCTCGTTCTTCCTGTTATCTCGGGCTTCCATTGCTCACACCGAAGTAAAAAGAAAATGCCGGAAAGAAAAAGGGGAACCGACTCTCTCACTATTGCTGACGAAGCCTTTTCAAAACTTTCGTCAACTATTCAAACTGTCCAGTTGCGAGTGAGCGACGAACTGCCCATCGAGCAGGCCATTAAGCCGCACGAAGCCAAGCGGATCAAATACGCCTTTGATCTTCTACATGGGCCGCGACAACCAGTTTTATCCAGAGCTGATGAGAGGCGAGATAAATATTGGCATTTCTTAATGCAAATGAAAGATGATGGCCTTGTGGTCGCTGGTGCCCTTGGCCTCGGGCAAACAGCTATTGGAGATATGAAGGAAGCACCAAGACTCCGCGTTCCAGTCAAATTGAAGCAACGCAAGAAAGACTTAGGATCATCATTTCTAGGAAGTCTCGCTTCGGTCTACTCCAGGACAGGTCAGTTATTTTAATCTCCTGACAAGAATTAATCTAAGTAATACGATTTTAGAAGTAGCAAGAACCAGTGTATCTCCTTCAGAAGAACAAATGCGGATGCATCACGATCCTCTGAGCTCCAGTGAAATACCTCCGCTCTCGGTGACACCACTACAATCTACCGGTACTGATTTACCTCTAAGTGGTTCGTCGCCGGCATCAGAGCCACAGCAACAAAACGAAACCCTTTCGCCCGGTGGAGAGAAACCTCCGGAGGTCGCACAGAGTGGGCTAAATTTCCTTCAACGAGATGGCCACAATCTAACGACTACAGGCTCTCTCCATGGGCGCGTATTTGCGCTGACACATGAAGATGTTCGCGCAGTCGCTATTTCAAATCAGATATCGGGTCAAGTTTGGATGACGGATCCGTACGATAATGCATCATTTTCATTCATATCAATGCCCATTACGGATGAAATATCACTTTATTTCAGTACCCGGCGACGCCAGATCATGTGAATGATCATCACATCCTCACCACATACTGTATCCCAACAGTCCCGATCGAATAGAACCACCAGTCAACATTCCACGGTACTATCACTAAGGCATCCGCGTCCTCTGTTCCGACTTTACCTACAGCGGCAACGCCGAGGTCATTGTCCGATTTTTCTCCAACTTTCATGGCTCCACCAGATGCGGATATATCAACGATAACGGCAATCGTATCAGGAGGGGGTGAGGTCTGATATACGACTTCTGTTGTTGGGCCAGGAACAAGGGTGCATCCAATGCAGTGGAGCTGGACAGAAGCTAGGACAAGTCGAAACGTATTTGTTTGCAGTAGCTTGCCTCTTTCTTGCAAATATCGAGAAGCTCACCCTTTGTCGAGGCTCTTGAGGCTTCAATTTTGCGGAACATCTTCTTAGGATAGGGCGCCAGCCAGCGACACACTATCGCACGTTGATTCACGTCATTAGCCGAGTTCCGAAGGTCAAATGTAGAGTATCATACAAATGATAGGTCTCACAGTATTCAGAAGCGACAAGAGCGAACTCTGACGCTGTAGCAAGTGCGATGATCGGGTGGAGCGTGGGGTTATCACCACCACGGCAGGAAAATTGAAACACGGGCGAACAGTTATAAGTTCACAGCCCAGCAGTACATAGATCAACCTGTGATAAAGAAGCTTCCTTATAGAAACATTAGCCGTATGCAGCGATCACGACAAATATCTATTGCATTTACTTTGAACCCTCCCTTGACTGCAGCGTCAAAAAAAAGTGATTGGGAACAGACTATCACACGATGTACCTGGAAACAGAAGGCTTTGCAAGATTGGCTGAAGTTTTGGAAACCCCATGATCGATGTAGCTTCATGTAAGTGAATAGCAAGCTTAACTCGATTTACCATATATCATTTTATTATATCCGCCATTAAGAAGTCTTAAGTGCTATGACGTCAACACTACGATCGTTTGGTGCAGGGATTGTATAGTTATTTATATGGTACAGTACTGTATGTGCAGCTCTCGTCCGTTTGAATCTACAGTGACATCTCCAAAGTTTGGACACCCCCTAATTGCTTGTCAGATGTTCCCCTCTATTACATGTATGTACATGGCTCAATTGATCTGTATAGACTGACGATAGTGTCTGGCTACTTGCTGAGTCCATCTCTGCAGGGTTTCGGTACTGGATATTCATTTGAATGAGATCATCTATATGAATCCTTCAAGTTCCTTTGTGAGTCTCTAAAACTAACTAACCATCCAAGTGGCAAAACAAACACATCCACGTATATGCGATAAATAATCGAGTCTTTCTCTCAACCCTCCATAATAGTCATCCAATTCTTTTGATCAGCTCATTACGAGTGATAATGAGGATCTCAGATACTAAATCATTGTGGGGAAGTGGGCCCTTTTTTCACGTAGGGTTCTCTGATGCAACGACAGGGCTTTTGCTATTCCGAGGGGCATAATGCGTCACGCCTTTGATGTGGTCTTCTAGGAAGGGAATGGGATTCTGTCCATTGCCTTCATGTAGGTCCGCAATTCTTTTGGCGAGCGATGAGTCTTGGGGCTGGTGCCGAAATATTGCCCAGGTATGGCTTTTCCTGGACAGCCGAAGCAGGTAGACAGGTATGACTACCACTTGAGTATGGGCGTTGTCATAGTTGTACTCGTCATTGTTGAAATCGAGTGCAAAGTAGGTGTGTCGTGACCAAACCTCCACCGCCAAAAGCCGCAAATCCGCCTTTCCTTTCCAAGAATCGACGAAGCTTTCGATTAATTCACGAGTCGAGGCCAGATAATCTTCGTGGTTCAGCTTTTCGGTAGGCAGGTCACCCAGGATTCGGATTGAACGATGCGTTTCAAGAGCGTCGGACACAGCCTGATTTACTTTCTCCATGAAGCGTAGTGGCGGCCTTTCACTTTCAGATAGATCATGTGTGGGAAGAAATAGTTGACAAAAGTCTCAGGTGTTGCCCTGTCTCAAGAGCATTTATAATGAAGGGCGTTGTGCACGGACCAACGCAGGCGGTGAAGACTAGTCAAGTTTGTTGTTTACGCACCAACTTATGCATTGAGCTTAGAAGAATTCTTACCCTGCCGTACGAGCGGTATGATGTATCAATCTGCGAAATATTTAACGTCCTTGTTTTGGAAATTGGGAAAATTTACAGTACACTACATTTACAGCAGTAGTCTAAAGATATAAAAAGACGTTTATTGAACGAACGTGAAGCGGTGATAACCCCCCTGCGTGCGACAGCCGCTATACATCCACTCGCATATAATGCCCCCACTGAAAATGAGTAGAAAGATGAGTATAACCGACACACCTTGCCTCCTCGTGGAATCTTGTTTAATTGAGCTTCCCAAAGTTCTGATGCGCAGGTGTTGCGAACCGTTGGCTCCTCATCAATCTTCAATCGAGTTTTCAGCGGCAACGGCGAACTTCAGCACAGATCTGAGGGGACTAATAACCGCAACTGAGACACCTACATTGTAAGCTCGTGATCCGGGGAGCAAATGGGAAGAATCTGCAATATCACTCACCTAAGGGACCATGTCACTACTAGCTGGAGATGGATAATTACACGCAGGGCAGATGCTCTCGCCAATGACTGGGGTGATCTCCTGCCGCGGGTTTTGAGTAGATGGTTGACAGGTCGCGTTCGGGGTATGTCTTTGGACTAAAGCATATCGATCGAGATGCCCGCATCGGAACAACATTTCGTTCCACTTGCACATCTGCAGCATGTAGAGCCGTTAGTATTGGACGTTAAATTCAATAGAAAGGGGCCCAACCTTTTCCGATAATTAAAACTTTCTGGCGAGGGATACGTACGGTATTGAGTACTACTGGGAGGATGATTGTTTGCGATTTTCTCATATCCTGATTCCTTCCAACATGTTCGTCTTATATGTTTTACCAAACGTGCACAGTCCGCTTTGACTATAAGTTGGTCTCTCACGAGTCAGTCGTAGGTACTATTATCAGAGCACCCAAGGTTGGTCGCAAGCAAATATAATTGGTCCAGGGCTTTGATCAGCCCCGCGGAGGAAACCAAAGTACCAGTTGTTCGCGATTACTAGAGAAAGTCTGTGAACTAGTACATGTGAAATTGCATGCTCTAATGCGACAAGAGCACCAGTGTCTCCAGAAAGCGAGCCCGTGATTGGGGATATATTCAGCTAATGTTCTCGCCGCACTAGGACGCTAATGCGCCCTTCACTTGCAGCCAGTAAACACAGAGCGCCAAGGTAAGTCCCCTGGACCCTTGGCTTATGACGTGGACCGCTTACCAAAGTATGTGCCAGCCAATGGGAAGAATTTTCCCTCCTTTTCCTCCATCCATCCTCTCCATTCCCTCCATCCTCTCCATTCCCTCCATCTTCTCCATTCCCTCCATCCTCTCCATTCCATCCGTTCCATCCATTCCATCCATTCCACTTCGTTCAAAATGCCACCGTCTCTGGATGCTGAGGACCGGGCCCAGCAACTCAGCCTACAAATCAACAATAAGATCACGCAATTTCAGTTACAAGGACTCACTTTCGAAGACCAGGAGCTTCTAAGAGCTCGTCTACCCTTCGTTTGGCGACCGCACGAGAACATTCCTGCGGCGTCCGCAACAAAGTCCCGACAATCTCGTTCTCGATACATCTACAATATGATTCAGGACATAAGCAACCATCTCTTTCTTGCTGTGGTACTGGTTGTCCCACCCACTGTCATTATTTCGCCTGCGTTCCAGTTGGTGTTAAATTCATTGATGAGCCATGAAACCTACGTCACTTTTCAGTTTCAGCTCAACGCGAAAGCACAAAGATTCTTCGAGTCCACCGCAGCTGAACAGGGCTTTGCTACCGAGCGACGTTACCTGGGTTTCATGAAATCCATGTTTTCTGCACCAGATGCCAGGCGTGAGCATACTCAATACTTTCTGGAGAATATATCCACTAACCTATGACAGAGATTCAATTAGCCTACTCGCTTGTTCCTCGTGATAGCATCGAAATATTCATGAACGAAATGCTACAGGCAGCCGTTACTAGTGAACAATGGGCCAAAGAAGGAGCACAGGGAGGCGATACCACCGGCTGCGTGACCATATTCATCCCATCAAATCAGCACCAAGATGCTTCATGCACCATAAGGGTCAACCGTGACAGACTAGTGCACTCGATACACAAATTCAACATGACGAAACTCAAGCTCGAGTGAACTTGACTATGCAGCCCAACACTTCGCAACGATGGTTCGGGGGAACAGAAAATGTGTTCGGGCTGTTGGTTGCGAATGCTTCCTCGCCACCAGTGACTTTTACCCATCCTTCTGTTTCTCCGGGTTTCAATTTAAACGTAATTTTCTTTGAAACTGGCTCTCCTTCGAATATTCCATCTGCTGTCTTCCACACATCGTAAATAGTCTGTTTAGTTCATATTAGCTCAGCGACACCACCGTGGAGGTGTAACACATACTGGCTCGTTAGGATTCATTTTTCCATCAACAATATCTGCCATACTGCCATCTGCCATGATCCGGTTCTTTGACTTCTGTTGAGTCTAGAGTGAGTTTACGGTCACAGTTTGTCTTATATATGTACTGAGTTACCGAGCCTGGTTGCATGTAAAACCCAACCTCTGACAGAGAGATAATATTGCTCAACACCTCTCACTCTTCGATCCAGATAAAAAGTTTTCGGATACCTGAACGAAACCGGACGAGAAAAAGAAGAATCGGCTATTTGAAGAAATCTTCTGGTGCGGGTGATAAGTCGGCGCGAGATGCCAGGGTGGGCCGTTGATCGTAAAAACTGATTTGAAGGCTTACAGATTCAGTCGTGTCCATATAACAGGGTGTAGCCCTATACAAATGGATCAGTTCGTGGCCGAAGTTTGACGGTGCTGTTGAAATGGACGCGAAGCAAATTTTCGCGGGCGCGCAGAGGGGTACAACTGTTGGTGCCCGATGGGGTTGCCCCACGTCATATTACAAGAGCCTAGGACTGCGGCCAATTCTAATCTTCCGACCCACCTTCATAGGAAACCGGTCTTTGCTGCGAAGGCTTTGCTGCGACATGATCAAGATGTCTAATCACCTCAACAAAACAATGCAGATGAGCTCTCTTTCATAGTTTGATTGTGATATTGATAACCGAGGACATGTACTGCACAAATTCTGCCCCGGCTTGAAGAGAGATTTCCTTTAGCAGTAGGTAGGCCTGACATTGGTTTGTAGCAGAAGTGAACTAGTAAGGTCCGAATGTGAAAATAGAGCGTCAACAACGGGTGTCCATAGTTCATACCCCATATTCTGATCCATATCCTAATTGGACCGACGAATATCTCGAAATTGCAATTAATAGTGCGGCAACTACAAAGTTTTTCGACACGGAAACTGCAGGGCACGAGCAGAAGAAGTGGGAGAAGTGGATGGAGTGGAAGGGGTGGATGGAGTGGATGGAGTGGATGGAGTGGATGGAGTGGATGGAGTGGATGGAGTGGAAGGGGTGGATGGAGTGGATGGAGTGGATGGAGTGGATGGAGTGGATGGAGTGGATGGAGTGGATGGAGTGGATGGAGTGGATGGAGTGGATGGAGTGGATGGAGTGGATGGAGTGGATGGAGTGGATGGAGTGGATGGAGTGGATGGAGTGGATGGAGTGGATAGGCCGTCATCGTGGCTGTGAATCATCACATTATGGCCTGCTTCTGATTTTCCTGGCTCCATGCTCTGGAATTACACACCGTGCGGTTGATGCACATCATGACGTGTCACATGCAATCGATGCAACTAGGATAAGTCAAGCAAATTGCACTTTGTAAAGGTCAATCTGGTGGCAATGAACCTGAGACTGGAGGATCAGCTTTGACCTGTTCTTGATTTGTGTCCATGTAGCCAAACAAAAATTATATAGCTAATGACAATATTGACCAGCACTAGTCCGATCTATTCAATCACAATCGCGCAAGGATCGCCAATATGGCAGTATAATCTTTAAAGTCTAGACTTTCTACGTATCAGCTAATCCTATCTCGAAATTTTGATTGACCTCCAAGAAACAAATTCTTCTGAAAGTCTGACCCCATACCACAAACAAGATGGTGCAACCAGCCCCTGAAGGACGATCGTAGCTAATGATGAGAACAGCGATAGTGCGTAGTGTATGTGACATTGGTACGAATGGTATATAATCTTGCATATCTTTACGGTCTCGGGGTCGCATATCCTTCAATTCAGTGCCGTGTTTTTTCCCCACGCAGTTCTATATCTTTGCATCTTAATACCTAGAGACTTGTGCGAAATATGGGTATATCAAATACCTTCTGGTCTCGTTTTATCGAACTCTTTGGATGCTGCAGGGCGAGGAAACAGTCACAGGAAGGCCTTCAAGGTTTGGATGCGTTTTTGATAAGTTAGACTGCAACATAATAACCGTTGATCCAGAAGTGGCGTATCAGTGTTTGGCACCGCATCGTGGAACTTCCGTCAAATTGATCTCTGCAGAAGAACTGGACGAGCTTGCAGTGAGTGTCCCGGAACTGTTGCATTCAGTCATCTTCCAATCCATGGCTCTAACGTATAGTAAATAGAAACAACCATCTAGTTGGGACTTCAATGTCGGTAATCTGCGCATACGCATACTTGAACAACTGGTAGATAGCAGAAGTACCAATATTTACCATATGCAGCGCGAAATCAGGAAAACGGAGGAGATCCCGGGCACAAAGGATCTGATACAGGTGTTGTGGTTTGAGCACTACTGGGCCTCACATACAGAGCTAATTAAATCTTCGATTGGACGTAGTCTCCTGCAAGCCGAGGCCTCCAAAGGAGTTAGCGAGCCCTTGCTTGTAGATCACGCTTTCGATTATTCCTGATTCGCCCAGCTTCTCCATACCCTAGATAGTGCCATCATGCAGACAATCTGAATTATATGGCCGATGAATCAGAGCGGCTGTAAATAGATCCTGTGGTGGTAGGATAATTAAGCCAAGGGCCACGTCGGTCGAGGTTGAAGGCTTTGGTATTATAATCTTGATTAAATTCTACTTGCGTCCCCACCGCTATTTCTATCCAGCAATTGCATCTAGTAGACTTTGGATCTGTGGAAATGCGTTGGCAAGCCGATCCTCACCTATAAAGTCTGAGACTTCGTCGAACTGACAGCCTTCTGTTTCCTGTTCGGAACAAACTAGCTTCATTTATTAGCTTCTATTCACTTTGCTTCATGATGTCTGACGTGGAAAGGCGGCTCGCAATCTTGATGCAAGCTCTGGTAAAAACGGGCTTGGAATATATTTGTCCGCGATGTTTTAAGCTCTTTTCAGATTCAAATGCTTGCTACAGTCATTGTCGAAAGGAAGGGGATGAAGGGGATGATATCCACGGAGGTCTTGGTCTGATCACGAAGAAAGACTTTCCGGAATTCCTCCGATGCTACCGGGTTGCTATCGGGTTTCAGATAAAAGAAAGTGTTCTTCCCTTGGGAGAGGGCCCAGGACGCCGCTCATACGACAAATGTTTCTCTGTTGAGTTTGTACTTGACAATTGTGGTGAGTCTTTTCACCAAACGCAAGCCCTATGTGTTGAGACTGACGATAAGACAGTCGCAAAAAGAGAATTAATCGACGCAATGCGGTTGGCCGTGATTAAGATCTAAATCAACACCCCACTGAGTGAGATAAAGTCATGGTAGTGTGTTGCAGGAAACTGGTCGACCGACGGCAAACTAACATCGCAATCAAGGTACTGACAGAAAGCTTTCAATTTGACCCGCTCATCCAACGGCAATCTTTGACAGGGGGGGATCAGGAGAAGAGCAAAGGAAATGGAAGTGGCAAAAAGCCAGTTAAAAGCGTGGTATAAGATTCAATGATTGAAGTTGGATTGGACAGGCAATTGTATATATACCTGTCTTTATTATTTCCCATTGACTAGTATGATGCGGATAGGCCAACAGATGGTCAAAACTAGGTATACAAGACCCCGTCGTCTATGATCACGTGCTGTTCTGATAGCCCTAATAGTCCCCTCAATCTTTCCTTGAAGTTTGCCAACGTGTCCGGTTCACACATTTTCGTGTAGCTGAGGTAAATAGATTGGCACACTGTGTCAAATTGCTCGTCAGGGTTGGCGAAGAATTGAAGAAGCCTCTGGGGTAGAGGCACCATTTTCGAGCTAAAATGCCAGGCGAGGAGGGAAAGCATAGCCAAATCACGAACAGCGAGTTCACCTGCCATACGGTGGGCATAGTTCCTCAGCAGTCTGTTCTTGGCCAAGGCTCTGCGTTTTCCCCAGGGCAAGTAGCGATACTTTCTGAGTGCCTGACAAGAGGATATCAAGAATGTGGTCCTGTCATTGAGCTTGTGCTGTCGTTTGATTGCGCGCTTGAGGTGTTTCGAGCCCAGAAACCACACTTGTTGAACAATTAAAGTCGTTTCGGCGGCTCGGAAACTGGCCCTTGGGAAAGGAAACTTCATAGTTTAGCATATCACTGCACTGCAGATAATCCAGAATTGATTGTCTTACATAGAAGTCTTCAACTAGCGACATGATAGCAGGTGCTCGGGATACCGTTGGAATACTGGAGCATGGTTCCGGTGTAAGATGGGCTGGTCCAGTATTTGTGTTATGCTCGAGATGCTCCCGGGTCCCTTGATCCAGAATCCGGACGAATAAGAAAAGGTTATTTCCTGGATGCGACATTGGTCTTCTAATAGTAGTATCGCCATACCACAGACGCTAACAGGAGGCTGTCCCGACCTATTAAAAGCAAGTATTTTGGCCCACTCCCAAATACGGATCCTTTCTAAAAGTTGAAATTTCCATTTTACTGAAAAGTAATGTAAACTTAGCGCCATTGCGCAGCCGGAATACTTCTAGCCCTTCATAACATGTGTTATCTGCGTTCGCCTGGAGCGGATCGATGCTAGTTCAGGGCCACTGTGGAGACCAATTACATGCACCTTTCATTGGATAACTGACTGAGTGCCCGAGAACTCACAATGGCTGCATGCCGATCTCACTTATAGGGATAATCTCCATTGAATTTTTTTTGCGCCATTTCGAATTACCAAGAAATGACCTTTCGTACTTAGTCCCTGCATGTGGGGGCTCTCGGAGTGCCCGAGTGCATTGCTCATTGCTTAGAAAGGATGTTTTATTTGTGCCAGGGCATTCCCCAAACTCCAGCTCTTCAACTCCCTCGTACAGCACCGTCCATTGCATACATTGCATCCCTTTCAGTCACCCGCAATGGACTTTCGACCACTCTTCCAACATTTTTCTCATAGTGAGTAAACTTATCATCCGGACAACTTCGATACTGATAGGCCTGAAGTCATAGTCTTGAATGACCCAAGAGGGCATTCTATGACACCTTGCCCCAGTATCCTGGCAGCATGTAGAGAGAGATATGGTCAGCTTGAAACCGACGCAATCTCACCTGCCTACATTTACCTGGTCATGATCGAAAATTCGACATACTATACAATGAACGGCGAATTGGGTCAGCTTTTTCGGCGATTATTGTATGATCATCTTCAAGAAGAGTGGCTCAAAGAAACTGATATGGGTCGTTTCATTCATGTTACTCTAGCGGTCAAAAGAGAAGTGCTTATTCGGTGTGATGTATTCTATGACATGCGCGGCTATACCTCAGTAGCCGGGAATGTGGAGGGGACTGTCCTCGCCGAAAGAGCCATTCTGGAGACGTTTCAGCCTATCTTCGACTCTGATCTGGCTATCGGAGCGTGGGTGATTGAGTTCTCTTTTTCCGACTTCCGGCCGAGAGTCTCTCGGATAGGTTCACTTGAGGATTTGTGTTCGATATTTCGCCCTCTATGTTAAATTTTGTCCTCGATTGACAGGACATTTAAGAATTGATATACATGGGTTTGAGCGTGCTCACAGCATAGATGCGAGCTTTTGTATAGAGGCATGATCTTTTTATTAGCTGCATGCTTGAAGTTCTGGAGACAGCTAAAATAGCACACCTACACCACCCATGTGTACTTGCTTTCTCCATTTGTCAGTGTCAGTAGATGAGTTAACATTCTAATGTCTTTATGATCAGAGATAGGTATGAATTAAGCCTTGGTTATGTATTAGCAGTGATCCTAATGCATGTTTTTGTTCGGATTGGGCAAGGTCAAGTAATGGAGAAGGAGAATGGAGAATGACATTATTGAGGTAACAGGGTGACATTTGCTATCGTGGCTAACGTAGAGCAGTATTAGGTGTATATTCATACTAGTAAGAACGAAAAGAAACACTCCATTGAGCAGCTATTGACAGGTTGCTGCAACGATGATAACATAATCCGACGAGTTAAATAAACACGACCATTTCCCCTTAAACACATAATGTTCCACAAGCCCTAGTAGCCTGATAAACCTTCTCTTGAAGCTCTTTACAGACTCCGGTTCGGCCATTGTCGTGTATCGGCGATGGATATCAGTGCAAACATCTTCGAAGATTTTCGAAGGCTCGTCGAAGAATCGAAGAAGCTGACGGGGAAGAGGCACACTAAATTCTGCATTGAAATGCCAGGTGAGAAGTGCGAATATTTTCAGAGAGTCGTCGGCGAGGTCTTCCACCATGGCTTGCACAAGCCGATTCAAAATGCTGTTCTGGGCTAAACGTTTCCGTCCCTCCCTGTATCCATTCTTCCTGAGATGCTGGCAGGCCACCACTAGCGATGCAATCTCAGGATCGAGTTTGTGTTGCCGTTCAGCTGCGTTTGCCAGGTCCGGGGTACCCAGCGACCAGATTTGCAACGCTTTTAATGATGTTTGGGCTGATATCTTGAGGTCGGCTTCGGAAATCTGTATAATCTATATTAATAATCAATCTTAGTACGGGAACAGAACGAAGGCATTTGCCCTTACCATAGTTTCCGTGATAAAGGCAGACGGTGGAGGACTGGGCAGGTGTATGCACAATCGAAGGGACAAACCACTTGCATGGGGATCTCCCATGTATATTAGGGTTTTGGAGTGGGTGTGATATACCTCGGCGCACGGACGCGAATATTACAATACCTTTCAATTAAATGGTAATTTTCATTTTTTGACTGCGCTTGTATTGAGACGGACGTGCCCTACTTAGTAGTTCATGAATGCTCCACACTCGACGTAGCGAAGTGTCCTAGCAGCCAATCCTACCCATTCCTTGTCTAAACATCCTTGTAATAACGCCCCTTGCCTTTTTTGCGGATTTTTACCAGCTACTCCCATGGGATTTACAAATTAATAAATGTCCCAGAACGAGCTAGCCCTCAGTAGGCAAGCATCACAAGTTTCCCCGCCCAACACCGCGGAGCATGAAAGGCTCTCATAAGCAAGGGAGCGGGGGTTCCCCTTTACATCGTATATAACCCCCCATCGCCGCTGCGTCCTCGATCTTCGGCCAGGTAAGACCGAATCTCTATATTCCCAGTTGCCTCGGAATCATCTCAACTTCAATTCTTTGGACCATGGCGATTAACAATGGCCACTGGCTTCCCTGCCTGGATCCACAACCTTTCAACTCCCTTGCCCCTGGACCAAGTCCCCCGTCATATCCGCTTAGTAGGAGTATCATTAAACATCCCTTCGGGACAGGTATGTCCAGCACTGTCTGGGTCCAAGTTCCTCAAACCCAAGTTACAAGGATATAAATGATGCTAATTTGCAATAAGGAAGGGGCATGGCTGATCAATCTTATGTTCAGGCCAACTGCTTTGAACCACAGCCAGCCTCGCCCCAGGCGGAAGCACATGTCGGTTTTCATTCTCATGGCAAAGCAATAATTTCCCAGAACATAGACGAATACGCCCTCATCAACCATACCATTGGGTTCCATGGCCAGAAAGCATTTAGCAATATGCAGAAGTCATACAAGAGGGTGGCCATACCAAGCCAAGCTGTGCACCAGAGCTTGAAGTGAGGAAATATTATTATTTTCCGTGATGAATATTTATGCTGATACATGAGTTTGTGTAGGACACAAAACCATAATGGTCCCAACAGTTGTGTGCGCCTTCAATTCAGCAGCCTCCCCGCGAACGACAATACGGCGCGAGGGCTTTTATCAACTAAGAGCCCGCTGCCTTCTACTCATTGCAAAAGAATCTTTCCCGTTGAGCCTGACTTCTCATTGATTGACCAATTTGTGGCTAGAAACAATCCAGCCCTGGAAAACATACTGTCAAATCTCAAGCGTTGCGACGCAGCTCTCCTGGAGAGCTTCTATCGATCTGCCTTCGAAGGGTTGGACCCGGACACATGTGAAGCTATTTTGCATCTATGGATGAGAGCTTTGAGCCCAAAGGCCTTGGTTGGGATCCAACACACATATTCGAGGGAACTGACGTATCCTGGTTTGTGCTTCCAAAAACCCATTACCCTTACCCGGACTGACCATTGAAGATACACGAGAGGTTCTCTGTCATATATTGCGCGGATGCCCTGGAGAGGAAATCCCTTTTAAACGGCTTCTGGAGACACTACGCTTGGTTAGTATCGAAGGCAAGAGAAGAGTGGACGTTGAAACGCGTTTACTCCTGCGTGAGATTGAAGTTTGGAGAGAGTTATACCAGTAACCATTTTACGGCGCTCGCTTGATAGTTACGTTTTACTGAGAGCTCCTGTATATTTGTATCTCACCATGTATAGCTGAATGGGTGCTACCTATCAGTGACGGTTTTGACAAAATGAAACGTGGCCGTATACATTAAGATTATATTCAGAAATATGTAGTTTCAAATGTTGACGAGGATATTGGCGCAATTCCACCATTCTGTTATATGCCTGGGGATATTATAAAGTAGACCAAAGCAAGACAAAAACAGCTACGTGTATTTTTGTTGTCCATTAACCATACTCTCTCCTTCCACAGAAATCTCTCAAGAATGTATTTTTATCCATATCACCATTGACCAAAAATGGTCGACCACTTCCGTAATCACGGTAGACCACGGTTTCGCTCGTAGGACCTGCACTTCCGACGAGCAACATGCTTGTTTCGCCAAATGTGCAGTCTTTAAAGGTATACGTCGCCTGGGGCTTGCGATCGACAGCCTTTCTCTTTCCGCGACAGCCGATGGTGTCTGGTGCAAGTCAATATCCAAGTCACATATATAGGATGCGCGTCATGGGTACCTGGGTGTCTCAATTCGTCGGAACTGGAAAGCAGATGGGGTTTCGTGCTGTGAGAGCTGCGGGTCACGCGTAATGTATTAGCCACAGGTTATTTGGAGATGGAAGGGCTCTCGCTGGGACCTTATGGCCAGACGTACCTGGCTCCCAACATTCCCCTTGATGTCGACATTGGCTTAGGGTTGACCTGGAATGGACCTTGTATATTGATTAGCAAAAGAATATGCAACAGTAGACTTCAGGAAGCAGTTCTAAGCACGAGGGTATCATACCGTAGCAAACTTCTCTGGATGTGACTGGATCCTTCACCATCGAGGCGTTGCCTGGATCGAGGTTGGCTTGTAATTTCGCATTCTGAGGCCCGCCTTCTAGCCATTTAATGGTCATCCTGAAAGTAGGTGAGACTGAATAGAGAAAAGTCAGAAGTGCTTAGGAAACAGGGCTCCTTGAACTGATCACTAGGCAAATGGGATGATGAAGAGAGGACAGAATGTGAGGGGGAATGTATCGGCTCACGGCCATGGGAAAATTTCCTCTAGTAATAATGCCTAGGTATGGCTTCATAATCTATGTGCTTAAAATTCGATAATAACGCTCCGTGGGTCCCTGTATGAAAGTGTCTACCATTCACAAACGTGCCATGCAGCTAGACTAGAAACAAATGCGGAACGACCTGTAAACCTGCTACGTGGGCCCGGGTAACGAGGTTCAACCATTGAGAAGACCTGCTCAACCGACAACTAGGTCAAGGTCCAGTCCAAGGCACTTAGGCCAGTCGCGTCTACCTCGGGCCACCTCTTTCAGACAAGGTCAAACTTTAGTTCTACGCTATCTCCGAATAGAAGTCCTCGCATAAGGCTAGCCCTCACTAATACAACGCCCCCAGAGCGAGAAAGCGCCAACCCCCACCGCTATTCTATTTTCCTCCCCGGCAATGAGCAACCATCATCTTTGTTCTTTCCCGCTATCAACACCCTGCATGCTGAGCATCCCTTGAAGCAGCCCTGTCACCGATATTCTTGAAGCTCGAGCGTCCATCAAAAGAAGCCTCACTCCTTATCAACATGAGCACACGAGATCTGTTCTCTTCTGAGCAAATGAGTCACACAAAATTACCGCAATATTCTTCGAGATATCCTATAGGAGTGGTCGACAGATGTGTTGAGACTGGCTCTGAAAACAATGACTTCGTCTACGAGCAACCTCCCCCAACACCACTTGCGCTCTCTTCATCTCCGACAACCATACCCCCCAAATATCGCGAGATCCAACCTCGTCTCAGCGGATGTGGCATCAATCCCAAAACGCCCGATGACACACTGCTATTGAAGCCTCCGAGGTGTCGAGGAGGTAAAACGCGCCAGAACCGCCAACGGCGGCCACAAGGAAGAAATAGGGAGCCAAAGCCAGTCCAACTCGAGGCGGATGCCAACATGGTCTCTTTTGCTAGAACCAGGAGCGAGAGGTTCGAATTGCCAAATCGTTTGATACCTCCACAAATCCTAAGGCTGACTCAAGGACCATAAAATTTCAGTTCCGTACCCGTCAGCCAATATGCGGATTCCGGCCAGTTCTCGAGCAGCCAGGAGCCTTCCGTCGTACCTTATCCATTCTCACCGTCGAACAACATTGCGGGCCCGGAAGTCCGATTGCCTTTTTCGCCTAACGGTGCTTCCGATGCTCTTTTCGCCGACCGACCAGCCTATCACCATAATGTGCACTGCTCTCTTGATCCGTCAGATATCCAGGTTTCATGGCCGAATCGTTTCTTTGAGCTAAGCCAGGATCGTGATCCCATGAGAGCAGCTTCCGTTCGATTCGCGGAGAATCTTGAAAGGATGCAAGTTCTGCAATCGTTGAGCATTGTGCAGGATTATATGGCGAAGCATCCTTCGGTCTTTGAAAGCCAAGCCCCTGAGATGGTCCAGAGATGGATGTTGGACATTGAAGGCGTTAAACTATCAGGGTATTTGTCCGAATGAACAAAAATGCGAATACATGCGTGTTCTTGACCTAGAGCTTTTATGTTCAGCCAGCAGGTGACAGGAATATACGTAAGATACCACCTTCGTGCGTTCATGAGTATGATAGATATTGATTTGTTGACTATATATCCTTGGTTCTTGGCATGCCTCCTCACATAGCAAACAACATGATCCAATATACTATCAGTTCTTTCGGAGATGACTTTGAGCTTTGAATTGGGAACCGGGTGTCTTCGAAGCTTCCCACATCCACGGGTACCGCAGATTATCCCCAGCCTTTTCCCCGTAAGCCCGGTCCTGACATTTCTTCGGGCCAGCTGGCGACTTTTTCTGTTGGATAAATCTTTGGAGCTTGCATTGAAGCCCTTGATAGCCGCGGCGTGGGCGACCTGTAAATTGACGATTGAAGCTCTCAAGGACATCCGGCCATTTATGTCTGAGAATGACGCGGTAGTACCAGATGAAGTACACTTCTTCTTCGTTGTATACTTTCCGAGAAGGACGGCGGTGGGAAGGGCTTTGGCTCTTGGTTGTTCCACGTTTGATAGGATTGGAAGAATGAGCATGTATATCTGAGAATGGCACCTGCTCTTGGTATTGCAAATTCAAACTCTCGGTATGGGCGCCGCAATCATGAACTGATGATGCCGATGGGTTGACTGCCATAAACAGAGCACTTCCAGGGTCCTGGGTCCCTTTATGTCAGCTAGGTGGTGGATGGTGGTGCCAGGACAGCGTCTGATGGTTCAAGAGCGAACTAATCTTCATCGGGTCACCTAGTGTTGATGGCTGTTGGGAGAATGACCCTTCGGTGGTCATGGCGATCTCCATGAGCAAGAACAACAGAAGGATTATAGAGTGAAAAGAACTGACGTCCTGTATTTAAATCTCATACTGCTGCAGCATCACCACAGTAAAGCTAGCGCTTATCTTTTATAGAAGCGTTTGGACCTAACCCCTGGAGCAAAGCTAAAAGCTTACCGACCAATGGGGTCCAGCCGCATGACACGTCTGAAATTTATAGCTCATGAATTATTCTTTTTGTAGCTTACCTGCTATTAAATACCAGAAGCTTGAAATACCGGTATGGAAGACAAAATGGTTTAGAACCAGACCCTGGACTAGCTGTAATGTTCGATTCAAACCAAGGAAGGTATAGAGGTCTTTGAGCAGACATGTGTCAACAACTCCCCCACTGCTAAGAATGTCTGGTTGCAGAAGAACTCATTCTGGAGCCGCCATGGAGAGAGGATCACGTATACCTCAATTCATTCAGCTGCTTAGCCAAAGCCTTGGGTACGAACCACGCTTTGCCTCTCTCCATATCGTATCAACTTGCTGGGGTTGTTCATAAGACGTAACTCTGGTTCGCGCCTCGAGACTTCGCAGATTGGAACTACTCCACCACCCTGTTCTCCGTCATTATGAGCTTGGACGCTGCTGGTACATGTGAGGACATTCAAAGGCGCATTTGCAGGACCGATCTGTACAAGATCGTAAATATGGCTTCTCCAAAAATTGCGGCTAGAGCTTACCACTCTAGGAGAAATTTCTGGGGCACATCGTGATAACAGAGTCGGGGGGAAGCATTATTATTGATGTAAATGAATAATGTAAGTTTAGTTTGCGAATTCCCCTGGCTTTACTAGGACTTCTTCCCGCTAATAGAGGGATCAGCGGGGACTCCCACAGCTTGCCGTCCAATTATGCGATCCTACGTAGGAAATTGCAATCGTAGGAAATTGCAATCGCACCAGCTTCTGCCGGGGCTAAGTAGGTCGTCACTATTGGTCTTAGGTACATAAAGGGCGTCTTTCCCCAGCCGATTGCATGCTCTGATATTTTACTGCCCTGAGCGTGGTCACTGTAATGACGAGAGGAAATTGTTTGTCGATAGAGCATGGCTTTGGGGCTCTTGGGCTGGTCGCCCTCATGTGCTGGGATGCTCTCAAGGCCCTCAATCATATCACACACAAGCAAAAGGTTGCTTGACCAATCAGAAACACTAGTTCCGTCCCCACTTCTACTAACATACACTGTCTTTCAGAAAGTCGGTATTTCCACCTTTTTGATTTTTTGTTTTAAAAAAATTGGAAAAAAATTGGAAAAAAGGATTAGAAAAAAAAAGATTTTTTTGCGCCAATGCGTAGCGGCGTCATACTCCATGAGTCGGGGATAGAATGGCAGTCATTTTTATCTTATTTGCTGAGCGCCTAAGGTCAAAACACCGCGCATCTCTATTGGATCATCATTCAGACGGACTGTCGGAGTTAGATATTCGACCATGTTAATAAGCATGATTGGAAATAGTTGCACTCTGTGTCATGTATATACGGAGCCATATTCCCTGGTATAAAGTAAATTCATCTGGACAGAAAAAAGCGCCACCAGAGATAAACCAAAATTTCGATTTTAAACCAACTATTGATTTGCACCAGAGAGGGGGGTGGAGAAGAGCAAGCCAAAATAAGGGCAGCCACTCCAAACGACGACCGTCTGTGGCGCCCGATCTGTCGGGGCACCGCCTGTGCGTCAAGGGTTAGTGTGAGGCAGACCAGGGGTCAAAACCAGGTTCAACCAAACTCGAGAATTTGCATAAACATTGTCAAACCACTCCTCGTTGTGCGCTCTGTCTTATTCCAGATGCGATTTCCTATTCCCAGTCTGCTCTCCCTGATTTTCGGGAGCAGTTTCTATTATCTCTTACTTTCACCCAACAGTGACTTCTTCCCCAATATTCTGGCTGATGCTACAGAGTCTGACCTTTACAGTTACGGATAGTGTTTGTCTCGCTGCTTCTCGCTTTGTTTACAATATCGACTAGTATTAGTCAATTCTCGGTAGAAGCTACACACTTTATCTTGGAGTTCTTCATGCTAAAACAGATAGCAAGATATTGCGGGAGTCGGTTGGGTTGTATGTCTACTCCGACAGACATCCATCATACGAGCAGGCCTGGACCAACCATCTCGTCATCTTTCACTTCATCTTCCGAATCCCTCTCGATGTCCAGTGGTGGAAATTCTAAGCGGTCTACTCGAAAACGGCGTGATTTGTCGTGGGGTGATATGCCCCAAGACACACCCTGGGACCTGACGGACCAACCGAGCAAGTGGACTCTAGACATGACCGATACCCCAATCCTGGATATAGACACATGGGTGCGACGGCCGGTTGAAGAGCGCCGGAAGGAGACAGAACAGAAAGGGAGGGTTCCACGGCCCATGAACTGCTTCATGCTGTACCGGTGGGCCAATACAGAAAGTATCAAAAGACTATCGCAACGGCGCAACCCTCGAGACATCTCCTCTATTGCGGGAAAAAGATGAAGAATGTTCTCGTCCAAGTTGGGCACAGGATTCCTGCCATTTTCGGCGAAGCTGGTTGGCCTTGTTTTGTTGAACCTTGAGGTCCGGGGTAAACCATCGCTTGGAATACGGAGTCGGTCGTACGTCAGGCGTATACCGATCTACGGCTGCGGTTGTTGTTTCTATGAGTTTCTGCACCATCTCGTCTAGTGCTGCTCGTGTTTTGATTTCTTTCCACGGACCGATTTGCCGCAACACCTCCTCGCCGATCTTGTTCCATTCCGCCCGGTCGTACGCTTTCCTTGCTTTGGTGGCGGGCTTACACTGAGCTTGGAGATTCCATTCCGAGTACGTGGCACGGTGGTCCGACCCGTAGTTGTCGTGGTAGAGATGGCATTTGATAAGTAGGTCTGGTCGGTTCGTCACCGTCTGGTCAATGGTGGAGTTCCTCCCGGGGTCATTCAGAGCCCAGTATGTCGCTGTCCCCCGGGGAGGCAGCTGCATAGACCATTGGCTTGGAAGAAGGTGATAAGGTCGCTAGCTTCTTCGATAAGTCGCGGTTGAATGTGGTTACCGCCCCAGGTTGGGTGATGGCGGTTAAAGTCTCCTGCGAGAACGATACTTGTGGGCCGTCGACCATCGCGTAGAGCAGCTGTGATCGTGTTTTGGATGGCGGTGAATGCTGGTTCTGGCGACGCACTATCTGACGTGCCCAGCGGGACAGATGGGATATAAACAGAAAAGAGGAGGAGTTGAGTGTCGGCTGTCCAGATTTTGACGGCGGCGATATCTGGGTGGTTGCAAAGAATCTGCCGGTGTGAAGACGTTGAGATTCGCTGGTTGACGTAGATTAGACTCCGGAATCGATCTGCGCCGGTCTCGGGGGTTGGTCGGTATAGCCGCCAGGCGCTGTGATTGACATGTGTTTGGTAGGTGGTGATCGAGGGCTCTTGGATCAGAAGTACATCCAAGTTTTGGGTTTGGTGGTCATTGATGAGTGCTTCCATCCTGGGTCCCGATTTCATGATGTTCAACTGTAGTATGCGCAGGTTCGTTTCTAACATTGATGGGGGTTGGACGTTGCGGGTGTAGCACACTGTCGGTCACCAGTTGGGTGTTCACCGCTACAATCCAGGCATTTGGCCCTGATCCCTGGAGGGCATCGTTGCCGCTCGTGTTGACCCGCACAATGTCCACAACGTGGTGTTTCCTTGCACGACCACGCTAGATGACCGAAACGTTGGCACCGGAAGCACCTCTTTTTCTTGATCTCGCGGCGTTCCACGCTACCGATATATCTTTGTCCAACAAGGAGACCATTGTTGAGGATGTATTCTGCTCCTTCTGCAGGGTCAAACCAGATACCAAGCGACGCGAACTTCCCCAGAACTTTATCTTTCCGCTTAAGCCATGCTAACTCTTCGATTTGGAAGCCTTGTTCGGCTAGGTCGTTTTCTTCCATAATTGTTTGAATGGCTTGAGAGTTCGCATTCTCTAGGTCGAAGTTTTCAGTCGGAGTGCGGTGCACTACGACGCCGAATCGCGGCTTGACCAGCTTTGTATTGTTTCATAGCTCATTCAGCCATTCAGTGTTGTTGCGGGCTGCTTCGGCCGACCCTGGGTCCTTGAAGCGAACTAAGTATCCCGTTTTAGTGGTGCCAATGCCGGCAACTTGTGCATCTTGAGTTGGAGGTGCGCTTAACAGCGCTGAACGGATATAGGTGTTAGCCGAGTCGGTAGAGAGGTATCGCCCGAAACTGTTCCCTTCTCTACTCTCATTATCTCTCGGATCTACCGATAATCTCTGTGTGCTAATGCGGACGCAGTTCCGGTCCTTTTCGGGTCGTTGGAGGCTTGGTTGCGGGTCACCGGTACCGCTGGCTGCTATCGCTGCCCAAGTTCTGGGCGGGTTTGGTTGTGGGCTGGTTTCGATTTGTGCTCTTAGAGCCCTGACTCCTTCATGGAGCCTGTCGTTCTGCTCTCGGAGGACGTTCTGGTCGTGCTTGACCTCTTCTAGGTCGGCTTTGGTGGATTCGATGAGCGTGGTTTGGCGATGGATGATATCCTTGAGGTTATCGATGAGCTTCCACACCTCTCTGGTGGTAATCCGGCCTGTGCCCTCGGCGGGTGTATAGGCTTCGCCATTTCTCGTTCTTTTCCCTATGACGATTGAAACTTCCCTTTTGGGAGAACACGCCAGTGCAGTTTTTCCAGTTACATCGGTACGTGCGGCGAAGTTTGCTAGAATGACAAGGATGATCACGTTAGCTTGGGAAATGCTAGCTTCTAGAGGAATAGCGTGTTTCGGTTTGGGTGCTCGGCCAGCGCTATAGATTCCATGTCCACTAATACCCAGTTGGGGAATTCCTTGCATAGAGGGAGCGGATGGTCCATTCGGTGTTACTCTATCTCCAGGGTGAGAATCGGCAACGAAAGGAGACATCGTGCGCTGCTCGGCTAGTTGGAACCCAGAGAGAGAGAATCAGGGTTCAACATCGAAACAAGGCTCATCGGATCAGTTAATCCGTTGGTAGACATATTTCTCTGCCGGGATGGTGTAAGAGGAAGAGAAAAACGAGTGACTTCTTGAGCAATGATTCAACTTATATAAGGGCATCCGTAACGGTAGTACAAATTGGACTAGCACCACTGCATAGTTTCGTCCTTCGCCCCTGAGTAAAATCTACTGCAAACGTAAGACCGCTGTTGCCGCTGCTGTTATTGCTAAGACATCATTCTGACAAAGCAAAAATAAGTCCTAGGAACAAAGCTAAGTAGAAGAAGAAGATATTGATGGCCAATGCGGGATTTGAGGGCTGCGATACTTTTATGCGTATTCCCAAAACGAACAGTGCTTGGGTTTGAGGGTGATGTATCTGGTATACTATTGGTCCGGCAGCGGCGCAGAGCGAGTCTATTGGATGGCCTGGGCCGCCCCACAAGGCATTGTGACATCCTCTATTGAAAGGATATTTCACAAAACAAGGGGTGCCGATCATGGCCGGTATGGAAAAACAAATACATGTACCTATGATTCTAGACCGATATCTATAGGACACGGACTCCCAGTGTTAATTACAAGTCCTCCAGAGATGCTCCGCATGGCTTAACCGGGATTCATCCGCCAAAGGATTGGGCCTTTTATGGATCCACCCGATCATGAACCTAGTACTTTGTGGCTGATGCACGTGCAAGGATTGATGCGAGCGATGCTCGCTTTCTTGCCGCGAAACAAATTGGCTGCGCACTAGTATATAACGATCGAGACCCAATTCTTGCTTAAAGCAGATCTACCATATGTACAGGATGCACGCCAACTGTGCGAAGAGTATGCTTTTTCCCTGGCAGCTTATCTCCTTCACCTTGTTGTTGACGGTATGTTAACCACCATTTGCTTTTAGTATTGTCAAACGCCTATTCGATTTCTTCGTTCTCGAGTGCGGCAACCACACAAGTTGCAGATTCCTCGGTCGAGTCAAAATGTTGGCGACAGCTTGAAGTTGGACAGATGGATCAAGAATCTATCCGTCGTCTCTGTCACTTCGGTCTTTACGACGAAGATTACGCCAAGGCGAAGGGACTTAAACCATTTTCTTCTCACGATGAAAGTGCTAGATTGTTGATGTGCTGGGATTGGGGCTTGTCTCAGTCACTTGCCGGACGCTCTGACACTATAGCTGCCAAGCTTGCAGAACAAAGTTCTCACAAATGCTCGCATATTCCTTTCACAGAGCTTGTTCGACGGGCCTATGGACTACCCTCGCCAGCGATTGAGGGTTTCCTTCAGGTATACGACTCTATCGAGTCGAAAATTTACAGCACCTTTACTCGAAACCTCCAGCATCTCGGGCTTTTGGTTGAATTGAAACAAGTAAGTCGACGAGTCTCTTAGCTTCTTTTCATATAATTCATCTGACAACATGTAGAGTTTGAAGGAAATAGATGCAGATCCATTTTTGTACGCTGCGATTAAGAAGGCTTTGCAACGCGTTGTGCTCCAAAGAAAGCCACACGTGCCATTAGTTGATGAAAACTTGGAGAATGGCACGCCGGAGCCAGACGAACGACTCCAATGGATCATCGAGCCACTGCAGCGACTGCTCCAGACCCCCGACACCGCTCGGAATATATTACAACAACTAGAGATCTTAGAGAAACGGTTCTACAAGCTCTACAGATCCCCTGAAGCCAGTTGGGGGCCATTCAATACCGATACATCATTCTTTGGACAAGTTCAATGGATTGACGTGTCCGAATTTGCCAACGCTTTGTCGAGGAAGGATCAAGTTTTCTTTTCGCAGTACATTGAGGATGCCCTCTGTGTAAAAAAGGACGATCATGCTCGGCGAATACTCAACACACGATGGAACGACCTCAGCCTTGCGGTTGAAGAGTGTATGGTTGCTAATGTTGATGATGTTCCTCGGAAAATTGATCATTTGGCCAAGGTAGTTCTGACGCTATGCCCCATTGATATATAATCTGACAGAACTACAGGAGCTCTATCGTGTTCGCAACTATTATTCTCTAACAGCCATCATCCAGGGCATCAAAGCAAGTGGCCTTCACACAGAAGCATTGGGAGACTTTGGCTACCTCATCTATTCAGAGAATAATTATGAGAGGTATCGGCGACGAGCCAACACTAGACCCGGAATGGACTTCTTTTATCCTGCACTCAGTGCCGCTGTCAGGGGAAATTTCACGCTCGCAGAGGGGGTGATTCGTCGGTTTGCGCGCTACAATGTTGAAGACTATCAACGCAATGTTGAGGGCTATCGTCATTCTTTTTTTTTTTTGTTACAGCTTGCTTCGGACGTTGAGTTATATTGCTTTTATTGTACTTTATTTGCGAGTCTACACTCTTTTTTTCCTACGTTGTTTTAAGTTGTTTTAAGGTCTCCTGGCAAGGAAGATTCCGATTTATTATTCCTGCTGGAAGCCCCCATGAGCTATTTATCCCTGCTCTGAAGTACTCGCCCATCTAATTTAAAGTTATTTTACACTATTTCGTCAAACTCATTGTCTTGTAACGAGGCAAAATCGCGACACAAACGTAAGAGCTGACATTAATGCGGAAAAGATAGACAAAGAACAACGGGGAATGAAAACTAGTTCCTAGCTTGGAAAGTGGAGCAGACATGCCCAAAAAGGGCAAGCCTATAGGCCTCCTCAAATGACAAGTGCTTCTGTGGCATTGAGTAGTCGCGGGAACAGCGCCTGTGCGTCAACCCATCTGTAGTCGTATCTCAACCATGCAGCCATTTCTTGATTCAGGGCTTATTAATTCTCACCTGCCACTGATCTCTGACTGGTATTAAAGGTGGGGCCAATACCCCGTCGTTCCTGTGTGGAAACCTTTCACGCTGGCCTACCGCTCAAATATGGAGACTAACAGTCCCCCATCAACTTCCACCATGCCTACGCCTCATCATCTCTACCGGGCCACCTCAGGGGGGGCCGACTCTCAATATGCGCCAAATACACATCTTTCTAACCCTTTTTTATACTCTCAACAGCCAGTCAACTTCACCGAACTCCCTCTGCGAAGCTACCAAAGGCCCGATCTAGTAGACCCCCTGGCTGACCAGCGCCAACAGCGTACGATGAGTCTTCCGTTTCGATTACAGAAAAACTGCTGACCCTTCGAGAATAACCTAGAAAATTGGACACTTCCCACCTCTTTCGAGCTACCCTTGAACCAGCGCGACCTCAGTGATAACACAAATATCAACGCTCTGTCTCCCACAAGTCTATATAATCAAAACTACGATCTCCGTCTGAAATTGTCCATTCCCTACCATGGAAACCAATTGGCGGATGATGAGAGGAATGGGACTCTAGTTGATGCCAAGGTGAGTCCTCGAGGAATACATATATCCGATAATAAGGCAGAAAACTCCGGTTCGAAACCTCCCACCAAAACTCTCTGAGGCTATTCTGACTACTACAGGGAATGCTGTGAGCCACAGCTCTAAAATATCAGGAGAATGCCCTTGTCTGCGATGTTCTCGAGCAGGTACAAGTTGCAATCCCTCAATCTCGTGGATGAATCAAATGGAGGCTTGCAATTTGAGCTCCAGCAGCAATTTCCGAGCCCAGCGTGTGCAGTCATACCTGGCCTCCGAATTTGACGGTGATTCGATTGCAGGAACCCTGGTCAGGTCTAAGCAAACCCCCACGGATGTCAGCGAGATTAATAGGAGACAATGCCGTGAGGATCCAGAGGCACACAGCGAGTGCTCGCAGGCCTTGAATCCAAGAGACAGGCAAGTCAGGATTAGAGAACTGAGTGAAATGTCATTCACTGCAGCCCTCCTTCATACATACCCGCTGACATATCCTTTCTTGCAGACCCCAGAAAGAATATTACATGCCTCAAACTATTCCTATTACCTCGGCTTCGGAATCTCAACCTCAATCCCCACCATTGGTCTCTAACCAAGAACAACATAGTAACCTCAAACCACTCCCATACCAGACCAGACCACCAGGACTGCAAACCCCCACCAATAAAGAACGGGCCACACACCCGCACGAACAACTCCTCAGCGCCCCCAATACAACGAACGAGGGAGATTCCTGCTCCGTGGATCAGTCCCGTATTTGTGACCATATGCCCTGTCCGATTATCGATGTAAACCCGACACACTTCGGACCCCGGGCGGACTTGAATGGTTTTCCTTTCTATATCGAGTGGCAACAATTCAGTTTTGTCGACGGAATATGGAAGTACGTGGCTTTGATTACCCCGTTTTGAACCCTGCTTATAGACAGATGGTATCCGGAACGCGTTGCGCTTGTTGAACTGGCAGAAAAAACACTTCATCGAAAATCCGGAGAGATTCACAGATTGCTGGAACAGCCCTGTGTAGCCAAACGCCTAACCGAAAACCCGACTGTTGGGTGGCCAAGGGTGGTTTTCCTCAACAAGTATGTCCTCAATCCATTGCTTTAGATATCCCCATTAACTGTGGCATCACCAGTGTTAACTGCGTGTGAGTCTGCATCCTCTAGAACGTTTGGCATTTATTGATAAGGCAAAGGGCGTTTTCGATAACAGGAGCAACAATTGGTCTTGATAAAACACCGGTTACACTTCAAGCCAATTTCTCGCAATTTATTCCTGATACCCTTCTAAATCTCAATCCATTTTCAACCACTACCTTGGGAGCGGCGTATTGCACCGAAAGCCTCGCAATTTCCGATCCAAATACTGCAGAGCCTATGGAAGGTAGGAAACGTGGAACTGGTATGTAGATCAGGCGTTCTCAGAAGCAATACTGATATCGTATCTTCAGAGCTACTCCGCAACGCCAAGGGGGAGCATGTCATTATAGCAAAGCAGGCCATACTGGCACTCTTTCGCGTAGTGCGCTCGCGAACACGAGGGCCCTCAACCCCTTCCCCCCGCACATTGAAAGAGCTTTATCAAGCTGGTTTCAACGGCCTCAATGCAAGGACGTGTCGAGACCTTCTATACAAGTGGGTGGCTATTTTGAGGGATGCTAAAAGATCGCTATATATAGAGAGACCAATCTGGTGGCCGGAGAACGTCAGATACGCGAGTCCTCGCGAGCTGTATGGCCCTGGTATGTGCGCGTGAAACCTGATTATTACACTCACTAACAACTCAAAGAGATCAAAGTAGTTCTCTTCCATCTATTCTACGGAGAATACGGTTATGCTCCCCTTAGGGAATTCTACACCGCCGGGAGAGGCATCAGGATGAAAGACATAGAACAAAAGACTCTATCATGGGCTTTCTGTATTCGGAGAGCTTTCAAGGGCAATATAATGTTACGTGGGTGCCCATCGGCTCTGGATTTTATGGAACACCAGCTGACAAGACGTAGGACTACCCGAGGGCACTACGGTCTCCCAATAAGCGCATTGAACATACCAACATGACATGAAGTCTCATGAGACACAGCACGGAACAAGCGGGTATATAGCTCGTTACAGATCAAATTGTCAAGGATTTGGACAACAGCACAATACTTGGATAGCAAAAATAGAGAGAACTGCAGATATAATCCTTTATTTATGGTCAACGCAGCTACTCTCGATTGTCGCACATGTTCTCCAAGAACCAAGCCTTATCCCAATCACCGCTGGCCAAGATAACTCGATCACTGTCCGGGTTCCGAATGACCATCCTAGCAGTTCCGCTGATTATCATGCTTGGGCAGCCATCAAACTTGCAATTCTTGGACCCGTGATTCACATGGGGTACCGGTGCTGCAGTCTTGCTGTTTTGATGACATTGAGGGGATTGACTGGATCGCGCTTTTCCGTCCTGTGTCTGCTAGTCACGCGGGGGCGGATAATCATAAGCAACACGAACTTGAATATGAATAGTTCCAACTGAGTTCTGCAGCCCTACTGGATGGGATATACCTGACTCATAAATTTGTTTCCTTCTTGCAAGTTTGATATTGGCTGTGTGGAAGCAGCTGCGAGAGGTGTGGGCTGAACCTCATAGAATTAGCATGTACTAATAAGACTCATCAGTACTCAGGCTTCTGGGTTAATACCGTAGCGCTTTGAGGCGTGTGCGATTTGATGCCCCCGTTCACCGATGTTGAATCAGGATTACATTGTGATTCTGCACCTTGAGGTACGTCTTCAAGCCAGGTAAGGGTCATTTGAAAGGCGTTCTTCTTGATGGAAGGCTAGATAGCGGCAAGTCGAGTGAATATACTGGAATAAAACTAACCTCAAGCCTATGACTTGGGAAATGAGACTTGAGAAGAAGTCCAAGAAGTCAGAATGTGAGGGGGAATGGATAGACGAGTCATCGCTCTGTGTGGCAAATTACCCCTAGTAAATTCAAGGTATTGTCACCCTGATATGCTTCGGAATTTTGGTAATATTACTCCATGGCCCTTCGGTTGGCATTTTCTACCATCCATGAACGTGCCATGCCGATTGTGGGCCTTAAAGAAGATATGATTCATTCAACCGACGGAGTAGATTGAAGGTGCCCACAATTGTCCTACCAATCTGCACGAACCACTCTGCTTCCCACCGCCAGCAAACATATTGTGTAGGAACGCGAAATACTTCAGTAGAGGTTAGACTCCTTGGTCCATGTTTCAAGGAGGGTCACTCACAACCATTATGCCAGCGTCCGAGCTGCAGCGCGTTCCTCAGCCTATGCAGGTCGCATTGCACACTCGGCTATAAGACGCCCCTAAGGTCCCTCAGTAGAAATCCATCATATACTTACAGGGGTTCGCGCATCCATTTGGATCAATTTACCTAGCTTAGAACCTCACGGCGAGAATGGATAATGCTTGTGGTATAATCAATGATTGTAATATTATTGCGTGTACATCAATTTCCTGCAGCCCTTTTCCATTGTTCCAGCCTTTCTCCACTCACAAATCGCGACACCATAGGAAAGCAAATATGATGCCGGATTTTGCGAATGAGGCTACTGCGGACATATTGTATATTAATGTACGTTACGTGCTTTGGCATGCAGAAAACGAAGAATATCAGTAGAGCGGCCGATTCGCGGTGTTGCTGTATCAAAGACCTCGAAAATCACTCGAAATCCAGCCCTTCGTGGTAGAGCGCTTAAGCGAAGCAGAGCCAGGAGACTGAGCCCAATTCGGCTCGCTCCCACCACCCAGCACACCTAGTCCAACCAAAGAAGACTAAGATATGATCAATCCGCACAAATCACCAAAGTATGTTCTTCGAAAGCCCAATATCACACTTCTTCCGCTGACACAAAACACTCCTTGGATACCAAACGCCATTTTGTTCCCGTGCTGACCTCAGTCCGCCTCCATCGCACCAGCCGCACCACCATCCCTGTTGAGCTCACTTCAAGTTTCTCCATCCCAAAACAACGCCATTGGCGTACAGCAAATGACACGAATGCTAGCCACTATCCTCTTGAAAACCAAGCGCAACTTGTCAGGGAGGGAGGGCTAGGTCTGAATCCATCGGCTGGGCCTCATTCCCTATGTGAAGGCCATCAGGTATGGCATAATACAGAACTAGGTACAGTAACTTGTGAAAAATGAATCCACCCAGTCAATATGACCAAGTGCTAACTCTACTTCTCACGTTTCTAGCCCATGCGCTCACGAACATCCTCGTTTTCCTACCTTCTGCCCACCGTTGTTGGAGCTTCCATTGGCTTCTGAGACAAGTTTGTCTCCATGGTCATCAGGATCTCAGTTTTGCGCGTTGCCCTTTGACACGCCTCCCATTTAAGTGATTCACGGCGTCACTTTAGCCCAAAGAGACCGAGCTACTTGATATATTCTGCAAACACGGTATGACTACCTCGTCTCCTGTTTTGCACAACCAGAGAAACTCGAAGGCATTCCGTGAGAGCATCGTTTTCTATTTGTTTGGTTGGAAGGCGATTGTCATGGTACAGACATTAAAAGAACGATTCTGACGCGAGCAAATATTAAGTACAACGAGGAACTTGCAAAGGTCTGTAGAAAGACATGATACCACCTCACCACAACCCACGAACCGATTGACCTCCTCCCGCTCGCCTCCGTTACCTCCAAATAGTGAAATTGGCATTTCCATTCTCGTGGGATATATATTGGGACTACCGCGGATGTTCGATGAAATCCATATCGTGGAAGCGGTATCTATGCGGCACCTTGAGCCCACGAGTTGATCGGCGAAAGAAGCGCTCCCACCGTCTTTATCTAACGATACATCGGCAACTGAGAAGATAGGTAGGTAGCCGATTCCGGATATGGTGTGGGGATGGGAACCTGACTTCTGGCGAAATCCATTGAGAAATATCTGGTAGGGTCGACATGCATAGCATCACCAAGTGTTGGATTGTAGTGGTTTGATGTGCCTGACGTGGGGATGGCTGATTGAGTACTCCATGAGTTGGCAAACCCGGAAGGATAAACAGGTTCGGGCGTCCATGGTGTGGCCACACCAGGCGATGGAAGCACTGGACTCAACATTTGTGTCATGCGTGGCGAAGGCATCGATGGCTCGTAAAGGCGGAGGATTTCTGCTTTGACAACCTCGCTTCTCTCAAATGGTAGCTCTCCAGTGCCATCCATATTCAATCCCACCAGCTCTATGGCGTTGGTCCGGTACATGAACGTATTGGCCGCTCGGAGGAATTCCTTTTGTAGGTTGTCCAGTTGAGCTTGCCTTTCACTCGAGTCCAATGCAGTATCAGCTGACTGAAGCTTCATATGGAGATCCACCAGAGCATCGATCGTCTCGGGCGTTAACTTGAATACCACCTCATTCTGCCAGACCATGTCAACATACACGACATATGCCTTGACATGAATTAGCGGAATATTGAGTCGGCCTTCTGCTAGCGGGCTCTCATCCTTCCGCTGCATGAGTCCGGGGGCATCAGTCAAAATCACCGAGCATAGCGTCCAGACCGCGTTTTCTGGTGACATTATCTCCACCAGACGGCGTTCTTGCTTTGTAATACTGCTCGGGCAAACCCTGGGCCGGCTCAATTGCCTCAGAGTGGCCATCAGCCACGGGACTTTGGCACCCAGCATCACAATGGAGGTTGTCCCGGCGCAAAGGCAGCGGCGGAAGACGGTAGTAATCTTTGGGGCATGATGCATGCGATGAAAATGAGTATTCTACGCATTTAGTCAATGGCGTCTTTTATAATGTAGCTCTGAAAAGAAGCACTATCACTAAGTTAAGATTAGCTCGCTTTTTCGGCCATGCTACCCCCTCAATATGTGGCGAATCATTGCACTATCTTTCAAGACAACAAATGTTTGACTTTTTGGAAGACTTGTATTGGCGCTAAGTGGGACGGTAATGCAGGGGTTGGTCTACGCTCTTCCTAAATTGAAGCCGGCGGTCATGGCGCGCCTAGAGCCACAAGCGTCTCGCGCGGGATTAATAAGAGAATTACCAAAGCTAGCGTAAAAGTGGTTAGAGTATGATAGGCAGGTCCCCGCTGCTTATGGAAAGAGGAGCGGCGTCTGTCTCCCGTGATCAGAAAAACAGGCTGGACTCGCCCAGCTTCCGCATTTACCTCCAGCTGACCGGAGGTGCAGATTTGCCACACTTCATAGAATTATACAGGCGGAGTGCTTGGACGCTGTTGTGGTGGTAAGAGGGATATTTCTCACTCAAATTCGTTGCATGTAGTTGTGATTGACTCTGGCGTGTTTGTTTCTCACCTCTCGCTCCGCCGTCTAAACCTATAGATAGATGGGAAAGGGGAAACTATGAGAACAAAAGAAGAACCTTTGAGCGAACTGCTTTGCGTCTGGGCGTTAGTAAAATGAGACGGGGCTGTACACTTCATATCTGTTCGGTCAAGTCATCCACAACGATGATCGCTTACGACTTCTCGCACTTTATAAAGCGGTCCCTCTGTCGACGTATTGTGGTCACTGACCATAATATCAGGCCCACCGTCAAGAGGGTCAATGTTCTACCCCTGCAATTGATTGTGCGGGTAGAAGTCTGGATCGGGACGGACAAAGGAGTTCCGGCTACCTCGGGCTGCCCCCTCCAGCACCAGATCGCGGACTACTCAATCCATACTACTTGGCCAAAACTCTTGAAGCCTATAACTATAGGGAAGAGAAGCGCCCTTTACAAGGGCACTGCTCTCTTTATCTTCTTTATCCAGGAAAGTCTCGGTTCTCTGTTTTTCGTCGTCTGGACCAAACTAACTCTCATCCTTTGTCATTTCAGCTAGCTTTTCTCTGCCCTACAGACCTGGATCTGACAAAAGCATCGGCCTTCCCACAGCATGGACCTTGCACATTACACAATGACCCTCCAAAGCGGCCGTCCCGGAAGACCTCACTCCATCGATGCTTTTTGATGCCTCGCATCAAGCCTCGACCCGACCAAGGCATGTGGAATCGTCACCATACACACAGCAGCAGAAAGTACTGCCAAGTCACTGGGCTCAATCGGGGAAGCACTGCTTGCTTGGAGACACACCACATCGAAACTCAAGGGCTGCTACGCTCAATCCCTTCTTTAATGAGAGTGCTCACTGGAGCTTCGAGGACTCAGCACACTGGACGAAGTGAGTCGACCTGAAGGAAATGACCTATCCAGAATGATTGTACGTGCTTCTATGTCCCACTGATATTCTTGGGCACAATCTTATTTCCCACCATCCATTCTTCAACTGCCTGGAAAATTAATACTCTTTTGAACTGACATCCTTTTAACATAGATATTTGTCCAGACACAATAACCTGAAGCACCGAACGCGCGATACGTCATGGCCTTCCAATACCTCCGTCTCCCCCCTCGAAAGCACCATCCCGCTTCCCCAACAATCCCTCCCCAGCGCTCTACCGACACCTCAATATAAGCCTTATGTTATTCTTAAGTCATGACTAAAGATAAGAGGGGCACTATTACAATCCTTTGGACCTCCATACTAGTTCATTCTCAATTGATTGATGCTGATTCAATAAGAGCTGTACATCAGTCAAACGTGCCCGACGATTTTGCGAGTTGGGAGAGAAGACTATGTATCTGAAGGGATACTTTCTTTTTATATCGATAAGCCCACGAAATTGAATCACAACATCCATGCCTTTTCTGAATATCAAACTCAGTCGCGCGCGTCTCGCAAAACGACAACATTTTTCGCGTCCATACCCCAGATTGTAATGACTTTCTCGTAGAGATGAGGCTTCATCGCTGGCTCTGTAGACATCAATAATTTTGCAGTCATGACCGCGGTCGATTGCACCACCTTACTTTGATCCATGATCTCCTGCAGATGTTCCTTTGAGCATTGGTGAAAGCTCTGAAGATATAGATGTCACCACCATATGGATAGGCGAAGTTCCATGTTTTCATATCCCCGCATGGGGTTATTCCATTTACATGGCGCGTGAAGTCCTCTGCACAGGTCATGCAAACAGGTTGTAAGCTTGCCTTCGGCTCCGGCAAATTGCACGATTATTTCGGAAAGGAATTGTGCATAATCATCCAGGCCAGGCAACTCCTTTCTCTTTGAGACCTCGTTAGTATCATTCCTTCTTGACCGGCGCTGTTGAAACTCACAGTAGCGGTCTCAAACTCGTCATATCAATCAAGAACTGAGCCTGAGTCGGACAGGAGATTCCTGGTCTTTAGAGAGCTTGCTGGTCCAGTAGAGCTTTTGCAAAATTGTGACCTGACAGAGGCATCACTACATGGTGCAACACCGAATCATTTTAATAAAAAATGGAAGGGTCAGTGCTCCCATCAAGATCCATTCCAAGAGGAACGTATAGTCTCATACAAATAATTACAGGATGCTCCACAGTATCATTCCCGTAGAAGTACCAAAATTACTTACGTACTTGTGTCAAATCGATGTGGATCAGACCCAGTCATGGTATATCCCACTAACTTAGTGGCAACGCTCGATCAGTAGTTAAGTTAGCCGGTCTTCCTAGTGCCTCGCTACTTGGAGTAATCATTTTCATATTCCCTTTCCATCCGTTTGTCATGTCTGAGAGTCACATATCGGCCAATCAATCCTCACGATTCTGCTAGAAAGTCCGTCTGCTCTGTGTTCGTTGTTTGACTTTATCAAGTAATACTACGAATTATACTGACATTGCCAGGGCCCAGTAATTTATTCTACGGGCAGAGAAAAACATTGCGTGAGATCTGCGAGCTATAGTTTCAACATGGATCCGCGCTGCTGTTCAGAATGCAAAGGATTTCTTTCAGCGTGTCTTTGCCCGGTCGCTAGTGAGACTAGGGTTTTCAGTTCCGAAAGCCGACTTGAATCCACCTCGATCGACCGAGAGAACCTTGGAGGTTGGATCCAGATGGCCAGCCAGAGCCATTCCCATCTAATGCTCAGTTCAATGCCCCGTAAGAGTCTATCCGCAGTATTTCGACTTACAGCTGACATCCGTAGGCCTGAACTTGTCGCTTCCTCCAGGATCCAGGGATTCTCCACTCGAGGCGGCTCAAGTTCAATGTCCCTCATCCGTCAGCTACCACAAAAATATAGCTGAACAGTGTCACAGCGAGCAAACTCAGTTAGCAGCTTACTGTCAAGGGCTGGGTCCACGGCCCCATTGTCTCTCTCTCTCTCAATCATCATCTAGAAAGTTATACGATGCGTGAGTTGAGTCATATCAGATGCGAATAATGTTGCCTAACAAAACCACAGGGGCGACTCTTCGTCCGGAGATTCTCGCACGCCGGCTCTGTTGGTAGATAGTCCGGCATACTATTTGCAATCGGCATGTAGCCCCGAGGCCAAGCACCAAGCTTCAGCCAGGCCGTTGGACGCACAAGCCTCTACACAGACCACAAAAGGTTACTCATCCTTGAACTCCACGTCGGCTGCCTCGGATATCTCTCTTGTGCTCTCTCACGATTCCGAAGGTGATCTTGCCACCCAATTTTCTTCAAAGACAGTTGCGCATCCCTACAACAAACACGATATTTTTTTCAATCGCCAACCCTGCCGTGAGCAGACCCCTGCAGAGCTATTTTCTGTCTCGAAATCGAATGATGAGCCTCGCAATACCGGTGCACAGATCCAGTGCTGGGATCATGGGTGTAATGGCAAACGTTTCTCAACTTTGAGCAACCTTTACCGACATGGACGTGAAAAAGAAGGCCTAGGCGCCAATGCAGTGTGCACTTCTTGTGGTACAAGGTTTAGTCGCACAACAGCGCTCAAAGATCATATAAAAAATAGGGTCTGCTCAAAGTTTCAAGGAGAGTCAAGAGGGGGGTAGAGAAGCTCTTCCAACGTTTGGCTGGAGTTTGGAAGTCATGCACCATTATACAAATTGGATTGTTACGGATGCTTGATCCTAAGCTAGCTACTTGCCCTATTGAATCAGGTATGTGCTCTAAATGCAAGCTCTACACACAGCGCAGAGGATGTAATTGCCGATCCTGGGCCATCAAAGCGGTTACTTGGTGCTTCCTTGTTTTTCTGATAGTATAGTTTCTATTTCATTGTAGCCTTAACTGGCATCTACATTTTATTGAGAAGACTTTTACTATCTTGGCTGGCCATTCGCAGTCGGTAGATAGATTAAGAATGTCTGTCTGCTACTGTATCTGTTCAAGTCACTCCCTCCCAGGTTGACAATTTTCAACCTGCTCCCACGTCACCTTATTGATGTTGATTTCGATAGTTATTTTCCCCTCAAAGCCACCTTTGCGCCATTTGGTCTCAGATAGCCATATTGAGAAGGCCACGATACCGCCATCCTTTCTGTTGACGTAAGCTCTTTTTTGGGTTCTTTGATGTCGTCGATAATCTGAAGCTGTCCATGACCATAGAAGGAGCCCCATTTTTATCGTTCTGAGTGACATGGCAACTTGTGTAGTTATTATCGCTGAATGGGCGAAGGAAAGATATCTTGGGCGTGGTTTAATATGCATATCCCAGCAGCCTTGCAGTTGTTATCATCCCGAATAGTGCTGTGGTGCCCACTCAAGCGGAAAAACTAATCCATTTCCAATGTCCTGATGGTCCAACCTCCAGGTGGCCAGCACGGCTTAGACAGTGTGTCAAATTGGAACTGGTGAAGGTTAAAAAGTGGAATAATTGGGCATGGCTGCAGGGTCTGACACTGATAATAACAGAGGAATGGCCCTGATCAATAGGGTCGGATTCACAGTTGGCAAATAAACAGTGGATAATTACTTCAGTGATTGTTGGGGCTGTCAGTGAACGTAGGGAGACACGCAAAACGAGTTGATGCAGCACTCCCAGGCAAACACACCCGGCAGCTGTATGACCGATTATCTTGGAAAGAAGCGAGCGTGCTGACTCAACTCCGAACCGGCATGGCAAGACCCAATGGATATCTCTATCGAATCAACGTAGCAGACATGGACCAGTGTGCGTGTGGACAAGCGAGAGAGACCGTGGAGCATTTCCTATTTCGATGTCAAAAATGGACGGCGCACCGGACGGAACTACTAAAATGTACCAACACCCACCGAGGAAATATATCCTTCTTCCTAGGAGGAAAGTCGCCTTCCGATGATCAGAAGTGGACGCCGAACTTAGAGGCGGTACGGGCCTCAATACGATTCGCCATCGCCACGGGCCGACTCGAGACCACCTAACCATGCCAAGGAACATAAATCACCCCCTTTCGCCGATCTAACCCACCAACCACCTCGTGTTACAGATGGTAGACGCGCTTCAACTGCCGAAAATAGGATGTTGAACACTTGGAGAAGCGCCTTCAAGCCAGCCTACTAAAAAAATTACTAACCCACGAGGATCCGCTGCGGCACTGCATGCTGGAATTGACATATATTGTAAGGTTTATGTATGGGCTCTAAGGAGACACAGTACTGTATATATAATGACATGTATAGTAGGTCAGTAATAGTTGCCCTTTCGGCTTAGCCGCCGGGCGTTAATAGATTTTGTGTGTGTGTAGCTTTAATGGCAATGCCTACGACATATTTAGCTAAACTAAGGGGCAGAATAGCGCAAGAAATTTTCGAAGCTAAACATGATACGCAATGACAATTTAACATGTGTTAAAAATGAGGACACAAAATATTCAACAATGCATTGGTCGGTTTACGCAGGGATAATGGTCAACAGGAAGTAGAGTAGTAAACCTCGTGGAGTGGGAACTATGTGATATGTATCCAAGAAAACATTGATTATAAGAGAAATGGCAGATACGAATGAACAAGGCAAGTATTATTTCTGAGGAAGTCAATCGACTTGTCTCCACCAATCTGTCTGGGGTAGGCTTGATGGTTCTGGCCTTTCTAAGCTCACTCCATGCGGATCTGACCAATACGGCTCAATACCGGATCAGGAAGGGTTGTTTTCGAAAGCGAAGACCCTTCATATACCAAGGTGAACGGCGCTCCTCGATGCTGGATTGGATTTTCCTTGATCAGCCCCTTTCTCGAGCAGGCATTGATCGAGAAACGCTTGCGGAAGCTCCTCGACTGACTCTTCAGTCGATTGCCTGTCGTGCAAAAAGTAAAAAAATCTTTTGAGAAAAGAAAAGTCACGGGCATAAAGGTACTCCAGTATGCTCCGGTCCCAGACGTCATACTCTACTAGGGATTTTGCCACTTGAATGAATAGTATCAGGGCGTCCGAATGCGGATCGCTAAGAAAATAATCGCAAAGCGAGGCCTAAAGAATTGGTGGCACCTCAGACGCATGCATGTTAGGGCGGTTCACGATCCACCTCAGGCCACTAGACTCATTTGCTCTGATCAAAAGTGGCACTATAGAAATTCCTGTGGCACCTTTGGTAAGCTCGATTACCTGCTTCATAAGCGTGTCATCGCCGAACTGAATCACAGTCTGGAACGCAGCTTCCAGTCCAGTTTTGAAGCCAGTTTCGGAGCCAGTTTCCCAAGTACTAAACCAAAGATGGTCATCATCATGAGTCTTGACAGACAATCTCTGTGCAATCGCCCGACCTTTCTCCGTGGTGATAGACTGAGGACTGACTAGAAAGTGGAGAAGAGCCGGCCAGTTATATTTGCCACGAATGGACAAGTTTGTGGTTGGGCAGTTAATCAAAGCGGCGAGGATTTCCAAGTTGCCTGCCTCGGCCGCTGCAGTCAATGGCGTCTCAAATCGCCCATTGATCTTTATCCCGCAGTTTACGTCGGCCTTAGGATTTGGTTCCTTAAGCAATAGTTTTGCCAGTCGAAGCCCAGCGTTGTGATCTGCCTTCGTAGAGAGGAGGAGTGCGTAGTCAAAAAACAAACGGTTCAAATGTAGCTGCCCTTCATGTCGGGCGAAAATAAAGCTCTCCCATTCTTGGAAAGCTGCACAGTCTCGTTTGGGAAATCCGTTACCCGTGAGCAAATCGGTTCCATAGGCTTGAGAGTGCTGATAATCGAATTCGCCGCTCCTGACCAAGAAGTCTGCGATTTCATGAAAACCCAGTGAGATTGCGCTTTCTAGAGATCGCAGTTCTTTTTCTGCCTTACAATACGGCCACAGCAGGGCGACAATATCTGTATGGCCTCTTTGGACTGCGACTTCAAGGATACTGAAGTTTCGTGTCTCGACATTTGCTCCTCGGGTGACGAGAAGTCTAGAAGCATCTGACTGGTCGTGTTGGACAGCAAACCAGAGAGGCGTTTTCCCGTCAGTATCAGGCTTTTCAATATCATATCCTTGCTCGGCTGCAGCCAATATGACTTTGGTGTCTCCTAGAGCCGCTGCTTGGTAGAGGTCCATCATCTTGGTCTTCTATTTTGTCTTGTTAGGTCAAAGATTCGATCGAAAGTCCAGCAGGAAATGGAAGATTCACGTCTGTCTGTAGAGATATTTTAACCATGGGGAGCGAAGAAAAGTCGGACAAGTTTAGTGCTCAAAGGTAGAATATGATCTATCTTTATAGGTCGTCGAACTTTGGGAAGGGCGCTTAGAGCTACAATATGATTGGGTCGCAGCAGAGTGAGGGGCCAGGCTGTGCTCCGAAATTGCTTGGCGGGGTACTTTGTACATTGCCTAGTCGAGATTGACATATGATCAAACTAACTTGGATGTTGAGAGCTGTCAAGACATACGCGCACGAAAATTACAACCTTCACGACCTTTACACTCGCTATTTTGTTGCATCTTTTAAGTTGCAACGAATCGTGGCGTGAGGAATTGCCTTTGTTTTAGGAATTTATGGCATATACTAATAGTGATACAGATCGCTATTTGATGAGATATATCGTCTTCTAACTTCTTCTTCGGTTTCTTCCGCCACGGAGCACTAAGCATAGCCATTCGCCTTACTGAGGCAGATTTATACAACGGAACAAGATCGGCGGGGAATCACCCGCAACGGGGGCGAGCTGAGAGTCTGGATTCTTGGCAGCTATCAATTGGCTATGAAGTAATTTCGTGCCGAGTGGCTGCCTGTCGTTACTTGGAGGCACTTTGGATCAAGCACCTGCAGATAAGGCAAGAGAAAATACACGGCGCACTTGCCCTTTTAATATTAATTCAGATCTTGACCTCCCATCTCGGCTGACACGGTTCCATGTACCATTCTTCGCGGTACAATATGTTTTGATATGTTAGGATCAAAGCCACTTAAAATCGGTTTTATTATAGCTGGGTTTGGCCTAGTGTTATATTGGGCAGAGAAATACTTTAGGTGGTGACGCCAACTTCATGAAGTACTTCCCAATCAATATTACAACTTCATCCGGAAAAAATGGCCGGCTGGTCGTGTATTCATAACATAAAAACAACCGTAGATCAGACGTTCAACTTCATTTTTGGCGATACGTAGAACCTTTTCATAATTAATATAGGGCTTTTAATACGGTGTGACTGAACCTTACACCGGCTTCGTCCCCTGCTTGTAGAGCATCACATTGGTGATGATCCCAACGGTCCTTTTACCTGGTGGGTCAGCGGCGCGAGCCATGGAAAAGCTGATACAAATTTAGCGCCCTCCTGTCAGAGGCCCAGAGAAAGCTTCTCGGCTGGCAAGTTTATTACGTGCGTCCAGAATAGCCGTGGAAATACAGGCAAGCCAGACAACCTCCACCTTTAGTAGATCTAACCCACAGAATGTTGGCGCGCTTGTCCGTCATATAATCCTCGATGGGCTTTCAGATATGTAATCGCGCTGTCGTCTTTGGTTTTGAAATTTGTCGGGTCTTCATTTGGGATTAGTATAGTATTCTGTGATGCGCCCCTTGTTTTGTTACATGATATCTCTAAATACGTCATACTGCCGCAGTTCAAATTATGCAGATCCCGCTGACGACAATAGTACGCTGTCAATAAACTTGTGGGACTAGGACCTGAACTGCCCAGTTGTTCTATATAGAACTCTCCATAGCAGTTTCAATCCAATGCCAAGAAACCATCAAGGTGTTACAATGTTGGATATTCTGCGGATTGAATCCAACTGCTCGATATTCGAGGTATGAAATCGCTCGAGGTCCTTGAAGGCTTCGTCTTGGGTATAGCAAAGCGCCCGCCTGAGCCAAGGACTCGTAGATAATTGGGTATTCCTCACAAATCAAAAGTCCCTTTCATCTGATTCTTTGGGGGTGGTATATTCTTTGAATACATATCAGAGATACCTTAGGGGATGGGTTCTGATGAGATCGCACTCTGGCCATACTGGCAGAAAGACACAAACGAGGACTGCAAAAATGAGATTGTTGGCAATTTTTGTTAGGCACAAAAGTGACAGACGTGATTCGGAAAAAGGAGCAGGTGAAACGCTTTATGAACTGTTCCTCTCGTCCTTGGATTTCGAAGGACCATGGATTGGGCCTCTCATGTAGGAGACGGGTCTCGACTGGCCGCATTACGGAATACTACATATTAAGTCAGAGTAACATCTATATACATAGTAGCGACTTGTGAGAGGGCTGCAATGCGGGAAATTGCATTTCACATGTGCAGATAGGAAAACGCAAGTTCCAACGATGAGTTTCCCTTGAACTCTACCCTTCAATATCCTAAAGATTGGCTCATATTTGCAACGCAAATTATTTTGCATCTGGCCTGGACATAAGATATTCGGCATTCTGGTTGTTATACGATACCCTTAAGAAATAGGTTATGCGATTGGGTTGCGGGTAACTATGTCCAATCAAGTGACGGACCCCTGCCAAGCCGTGGGGGGGGGGGGGCCTAATCAAAATGTAGTGCTGCCGAGTTTCTTTGTTTCCTACGGAGATTTTTTCAGTCTCTGGGCCCGGTTGGGGAATGTGCATGGGCCTGGTCTCAATAATGGCCGCAGCCTTTCGGTCTTTTTCTGTTGACGGAGCTAATTTATTCTTTGTCTCGCAAACAAATAGAACGTTCACTGCGGATTGGATATTTAATCTGGCGCACGACCTACCTCCTTACCATAGACCTTTACACTGAACAATATTCTTCGACGTGAGTGACCGTGAGATACCAGCAATGGCAAGCAAAGCCGCTCTACAGTTACTACGACCAATGGAGCAAGGCTCTTTCACCAAACCACAGAAACCACCATGTGGAAAGCGACGGAACGTCTCTCTTGCTTGTGCAAAGTGTCGCCAAAAGAAAACGAAGGTTAGAAACTTCTGAACTTATTCTATCACAGTGTTAATAAATATAGTGTTCTGGTACGACGCCATGCGCGAACTGTGCGGCAAAAGGCTGTCAATGCATCTATGGTCCCAGCAGTAATCGCAGGCGTAGACCTGCATTGCGTCAAGCACTGCTTAATCAGCTTTTTACAGGTTCTGTATTATACCATTCAATGCAGGAACAGATCTTCAAATACTAGGCTAACCATTTCAGGGCTGGCATATCATGTGATTAGGGTTTGAAGCAGCCACTCTATGTTCACCGACATGGAAGGCAATAACGGTCGCGACGGTACTTCCTGTATACTCTCAGCTTGAGTACCGGAAGGATTATCAGTTTGAGCTCGAAAATAGCAGCAGTCGTTCTTTTTTACCCATTTTTCGTTACCGAAAATGAGCCAGGCCACATGTGCTGGTGCAGCACTTATGTGAGCACTTTGGGGGAAATCCCCCATATATTTTGTGAGCGCACTTCGTGATGTGTCATATCCTGCGGAAAGCCTGTCATCCTTTTTTTGACACATATTACAAAAGTCTAGAGGTATTTTTGAGGGGTTGAGAGTGGCGGGCGACCTCGTCATGGTCGGCAAGAATGTTGGCAATTTCGGGGTTTAAATGGAAACGTGTCCCTTGTAAGAAAGTTCTATCTTCCTCCATATTCCCACCATGTCCTTGGAGGCGACTGAGAAGCGCTTTTCTAGCGGCGTTTCTTCCAGCATCTACAGCCGATCTCCCAACTCACCAAAGGGTATTTTGCCAGATGACTCGTTTCCCCTCCCGACCGGACACGACCTTCCGGAAATCAACTCATTGGACCATCAAATTGCATTAGCTCGTGGCTCTACTATGGCCTTAGAAACTACCCGCAAGCGTCTGCAAGAATCTAAGGTCAGACGCAGACTGTCGCTACCGGAATTACGGCAGGAAAAGCTCCGCCAATGGGAACTGCAAGAAAGCGAAAATCAATTTTATCGCTCATGCCTTGATAACTTTCATAGTCTATCTAAAGCTGCCGCTGATGTTTCAGACGGCCTGGCACTGCAATATCTCTTTGAGCCAGAGACCAGTCCAGTGGGAAATGCACGAGTTCTACAGGCGAACAAATCCTTACGCGAAGCTTTAGAAAATTCTCGGGTCCAGGAAGCACGAGCAGAGCGAGAGTGGAAACGTCAATGGAATGTTCCACGAATCTGGAATCCTACCACACGGTGGATTTAGCGCAGGTAATTTTATAAAGTGACTTGCGCTTGCATCTACTTAGGCTTTACCCATTCCCACATTTCCTTCGGGGTACTGTGCCCTTGGCTGTAAACCGACAGCTGGTCTCGCCTACTCGAAGCCTTCCATTGCCTCACTCCTATTTGGTTCAGTTTGCCCAGGGATTGATTCAGCGCCAGCATCCTGCAGTCTGAGCTTCTTGTGTCCGCCGCCAAGGCTATCCATTCTAGACCGTTATGTATTGATGAACGAGCAACTTAGAGCGCTTATAATTCGAGACTTTACCAATATTGCATGACTATCCAAGCAACTCCCACAGTCCATGAAAGGAGCAAATATGGGAGTCAACCCAAAAGTTAAATGATACGTCCACATGTATAAGGGCCAGCACTCTCCGAGAGACACACAAGGCAGCCTTGATCTTATGGTATGGTTTCGTGGGTATTGTGTGCACTCTGTTGGGTAAACCCCTTCATCTCTCTCGGGTTTGATTCTTAGTGCCCTTTAGCATATTAGATTCGGATTGCTTTCGACCCCTATTGCAAACTTACTTTAGGATAGACGGTGAGCACTATGATAACTAACCTATCTTGATTACCTCTGAACGTTGAAAAGTAGGAAGTGCGGAAATTATAAAGATAAGTCGTACATTATCTTCATCTATTACTGGATAAATCCTTCTCGCTCCTGCACCAGCGTTTTCAGGGCCGCTTGGTTGCTACTGAATAGGTACTAGACTAACTCTTCAACTCAACATCCCACTGAGGGCTTCCAGTCAACTAAATAATGGTTATGGCGTACATTAATATGTGAAAAAGGGTCAATCCACCCACTCTAAACGCATATCGGCAGACTCGCTGCTGGTGCCTTATATCAGCTCTTCACTTGGTCAACTCATTCTTTTATAATTAATTCGATTTATACTGAGACCAATCAAGCAAATGACGTGGCGCAAGCAAAGATCGCTTAAGGCGCTCCAGCGGACTAGGATAAACAAAGAGTTCGAAAAGTTCCACAAGAAACACTGTTTCGCATAGTAGACCATTAGGTATTCCGCTCTGTATATTCATACAACACTAAATCGTTAGATTCATGAAAGTTCTCCTGGCCACACAACTCTGCCTGTCTGTGTGAATAGCCGTGGTCCGTTAGTGGATCGTTCCAACGCACTTTCTCAGGGCACCACTCAATTCACCAGCCTCAGCGAGTGCTGCCTTAGACACACAGTAAGCCTGCAGCAGGATCCAACCCCCTACGTATGAACAGACGATCGAGATCATCCTGTTTATCTTTGGTTCGAAAAGATCCATCGTCCATCGTTTATTCGCCAGCTTATAGAATAACAGTCAGTCTAATATCGCTATCTTGGATGTAGTCGAAATGAACAATGTGGATCTTGTAGGCACACATTGAGTAAAAATATTGTTTATGTGCGCTCGGTGTTCGATTTATTACGTAATGGGTTGGATCAACCGGCGCGCTAAATTTCTTGGCGGCCATCCGATTTGAGTTTGAGTTGTTTATCTCGGACTCAGGCTGGACAGGAATTGAACATCAACCTCTGAATGTAGTGGACATTGTTAAATTTGAAAAGAGCGAAGTCAATTCCGTTGAACAAGACTAGGATGTACATCTCTATTGAACAGGTTGCGCCATGTTCAGGCTGTGGTTATTGCTCGTGCGCTGCGGTTACACAATTGTCCGGACAGCTGTCTGTTTTTTTGGGGCAGGCATATTACACGAAACTTCATGTTACGTAGTTGATAAACGGAACTTGACCTTCAAAATGACTGAGTAGAGAGCGGATGTTGGCCGGAAATGAACACCCTTAAAAATTATCTCTGCCCCTAAATAAACACACATCTTCGTTCTCGTTCAATTTAGCAAGTTGGTTATTTGAGTCAATATACGGACAGATCGGCGCCAAGCCTGGTCTTGGTCACTATTGTTTAAATCTTAGCACACAGATTTCTTCCTCTTGAATGCCACTCAACTTTCCACGGTAATAGAAGTAATTATGAAGCTCGGTTTCCATTCTCGAATCTTGCAAACAGACAGTGTTTCGCGGAGTGCTCCAATTATTCTCTTTGAACAGGACATTATGCGTTTATTGCATTTCCCAAGTCTATCGAACGTATCATTGCCCTCATCTAGAGGGCCGGATTTTGCATTGCCGTGAGGGTGACCCAGGACTATCCAGTTTTCAATGTGCACAGATTGTTACTCAGCTAGTTGTATAGGTGCAGTTCGAGGTCGGGTGGTCCGTGCCTTTTTTGGCTGCCTGCTCTCCATATGTATGATCGCGGAAAGGGTTTCTACTTTGCGATCGCAGCTGATAGTGTTCACGCAAGAGATATTGAGAATTCTAACACTAAGATCTGCATGTCAAAGTAACATTATCTCACAAACACCTCACTCTCTGTACCCCGACCATAAGTTCGTCCATCTCATTAACCAGTCTCGGGTATAGCGGTCTAGAATTCTGTTTTCGACAATACTCAAGCCATTACGTAGAGTCACGCTGTCTCGTTCAGCCTTGGCCGTAGCAAACTCCCTCGTCCACTTCTGCCGAGTGAGAGACTCATCACCATACATCTCCTCGAAGTGATCGATCAGTTTGACTGCCGGGTTGACATTCTCTTCGCCTCGTGCCTCACTCTCGCGTAGCAACTGGAGCCAGTCTACAAACGGCAGGGTCTGGAATTGAAATCCACTTCGCTTGAGGGTCGCCAGCAGCTCAGACCAAGGGAACACGCGCGGGTTGTACACGTTGTAGATAGAGTCATCCACATAGGCCACTCCTGAGGGGCCGGACGCGCGGTTTGGTCCGATATCGCGGTCAGGCGCAGAGCATGATTCCGCCAACTCAAGCAATACTGAAGCCAGCTTGTCCACCGGGAGCCACGAGCAATCCTGATGTAGGTCAGGCAGGGCTCTCAGGGTCAGTGCCGATCGTATTATCAGAGGAATCGCCTCGGAGTCATTCCACAGTCCTTTCATAGAATGCCCCGAAACTTGACCAATTCTGAGAGAATATGCCCTTGCTCCTGCTTGGCGTGCAAGGCTTATCATCTTTTCTCCTACCAGCTTGGACTGGCCGTAGCCCATCAGCGCGCTGTCGAGCTCGAGCGGCTCTTCTTGGATCATAGCGGAGGAGCCGCGCAGCGCCGTCGATATAGAAGAGCAGAACATCAGGACCGCAGGCTCGAGTTTTCGGACCGAAAGCGAAAACTCAATGAGGTTGTATAGCCCCCGGATGTGCGGCTCGAATCGGGCGAGGGGGAGGTTGAAGTTAACTGGCCATGCAGTATGGATGATCAAAGACACAGAGTCCAGCATATGACGAAAGATTTCCCCTACCGGGTCCAGGCAAAAGTCAGGCCGGTTTAATGAGCCGTTCAGAGCCACAACCTTTGATGTCTGTTCCGGCGAACGCAGCAGGCCCCTCTCAAGCAGGCTGCGGCGTATTGCCTTCAAAGGTGATGGCTTCCGCGTGAGACAGTATACGGTCGACACCGAGTCATCGTTCAGCAGCTCAAACAGCACGTGCGCACCCACTGAGCCAGTTGCTCCTGTTAACAGCTGTGCATTGTCAGATCGGTGGACTAGAGTCAGGGTCGCCTTTACTTACCACACTCCTTGTCCTCCGTGGGGTTTCCGGCCAACGCAGATGTTTCCGAAACAGGGAGTATTTCTTGACCAGGTTCTTCATGAGCGATACACTGTCTTGCGCTGTTGATATGCGACCTCCGCTCTGCAACGCACAGATATACTGCGCCAGCTGCGAGATGGTGCCCATTTCAAACACCAAGTTTTGACTCAAAGAGTGGCAGGGGTCAAACCTGAACTGCTGCCGAATCAAGCGGCGAAGGTATATTGCTTTCAAGCTGTCGACACCTTCGGAAAATAAATCGGCATCCACGCCCGATATGGAGACCCCGAGATCGTCCCAACACAGCTGAAGAAGGTGAGACTGCGTCTCGGCCAGACCTAGTTGGAGGCCCCCATCGGGTCGCGCTGCCGGAGTGTACAAGGTCTCGATCAACTCAGCATATTGCTGGTAGACCTGTGCTCGGACCATAGAGCCCTTGTCTGTTCGGGGGAGCTTCGCGGTGTATGGAAGGATCGCCACCATGTCCCGCGAAATTTGAGCGAAGGCCTCTGCGTGGCTATTGGCCTCTTCGATGGACGGCCAGATAGCATCGAGGTAGTCCTCATCCGGCAGAGAATATGACCCAGCTTTCTCGGAGCGCAGAACCAGAAGACCCGGAGTTGCTTTGCCCACTCCCACCACCACCGCTTCGTCGACCAGTGGATGTTGCTTGACGTGGCCTTCGATTGAAAGTGGCAAGACTTTTTCGCCGTTGGCGAGAGTCACGCGGTCGTCCAGTCGCGACAGAAACTTCCATCGCCCCCGGATCGTAGGATGAGGAACGAATACATCCTTAGAGTGGAAAGACCCGGGTGGGTCGTCTGAATTGGATGTGGTCAAAGCCGGATGACCGGCCAGGTAAACGCATTCGTAGAGTGATTCAGCCTCGCTGATGGGTTTCATCCAAACGTACGGTCGAACACTGTCAAAGAATTGCAGATAGTTCCAACAGGGGTCATCGTCGTGCCGTGAGATCGAATCTGCCACAAGACCTGCCTCGGTCCTGGCCTCGATGTCAGCGAGGAAGAGCCAGAAAGGTGAGAACTTACAGGCCGAACGATGCTCCAAATTTGACACCTTCCCTGACCAGGCGATCTCCCAATTCGTCTGGGCAAGGGGCTCCTCCGTACGTGACCAGCGTGCATTTCCGCAGTGCCGCAATGCCACGAGGATCGTCCACCAACAGCTGAAGCATGTACGGGACGGCGGCTAACAGCTCGGGCCGGACTTCCTCTAGGGCGGTGAGCACGAGCTCGGCTGTCATTGGCAGTGCGGCGTTCCACATGTACGCGGTCTTGCGCATCCACATGGCCTGGAATGCGGTGGACAGCCCGTGAAGATGGCACCAGGGAAGGGGATTGAAAGACGTGAGTCTAGGACCCTTTAGCGGGTGTGTCATGAGCGCTCGATGGGTAAGAAACAGCGGGTTGGGGGCACCAGTAGATCCCGAAGAATGCAGGATCACAGCGGTTTTGTCGGGGTTGCGATCGCGGCAAAGGAAGAAGAACCTAGGCTCAGCTTGGGTGTCCAAAGAGGCTCGGGGCAGTGGACGGCAGCTCACGAGCTTCCGCTGTAAAATGTCACCCATGGTCGCGCGAATGGTGGCCGTCTCGCCGTAAACAATGGTCTCGCATCCCACCGCCTCCAACAGGGTGACACACGCCTTACCCGACAGTCTCGGAGAAAGCATCATGACGATGTAGCCCAGTCGACTCAGTGCAAAGAACGTCACTACCATATCGAGGTCTGACACGGAAAGGAGCGCGACAATCGATTTGTTTTGCCTGGGCTGATGAAGAGCTGTCAGAACATGTGCAGTCGGCCAGCATCAGCAGACCTACCGTCTGAAAGCCAAAGTCCATCAGCATCGTCGCTGCCTGATTGATCATGCCATTCAAGTCTTGACCGCTATAGTAGTCGTAGGACGCGGCATGGCTCGCTGATCGGGGATAGGCAAGGATTGGATGTTGAACAATATCGGCTGCTCGCAAACGAATCAGGTCGTCGAGAACCTGGAGCTGCCCAAATTCCTGGACCAACGGGTTGGCGGTATCAATGGAAGCAGCATGGACGGTCTGGTCGCTGCGCTGGATGCCCATGATGATCGAGCTCGTAAGATCTTGATAAGATATGAGACAGCCAGTTGCTCAATCCCGGAGGTAGCGAGCGCTATTTATGAGTATGCCGATCCTACTGCCAAATCTGTTCCTTTGGCTGGGAATGACGATGGATCTGATATCGGAGCATTCATCTCCTGTGCTTTGATTACTGGCCGAGAGATTTCAACAGCGCGCATCTTCACTTTGAGATCGCTAACTTTGTGATTATAGAGTTGCTGGCATTTGAACAGACGCCATACAGCATTCGCAAGATGTTGATATTTCCATTGACAGGTAGACAGCCATTGATGATTTGGAGTTCAAAAGCCCCGGTGGAGCCAATTAACTTACCCTCAATTTTGCTCATCTCCACGCACATTCTTAAGTGGCATGTTTAGTATATTTACCCCTCTCACTTGGTGTCAGGCTATGGTGGTTTTATGAACCGGTGGAATATTAGATTAATCGCTGGACTCATAAAGTTCTGCCGCGGACTCCAGTGACACAATATAACAGGAATTAAAAACCATAGGTAACGAACGTTATATCTCACGAAAGTGAACACGGCGGTCACCCTTTTCCATGCTTCTTTTTGTAACTTCCAATTTTCAACGTCCAATGTACTGTAACATCACCCTATTGGCTATCGTTGTGGGGACCTGATACTAAAAGGATTATATGGTCACCTGTTGTCGACGGTCAAAACTTGCCCGAGATCTGCGGTATATGATTCCATGAGGTGATCGAAGTTGTGGATTCATGGTCAAATATTTGGGAAAAGGCGTGGTCATTACACATATAATACCAACCACGTAACAACGTTACTCTGCAGTCAACAGCGCATAACTCCATTATCTACTGATTCAAATTATGGCCAAGGAGAAACACTAAGCTTATATGTTATAATCACTTTCGGGAACAATCTGAGCAACGTAGAGATCAGCGGAACATTGAAGAACGAAGAGGAGAATTTTGTGTCTTTACAGCAAATAACTGAAAACGAAAGCATTCTGGCCCATAATGTAGCGTAATAGTACAACTTAAGCCGAAGCGAGGAAATTTATTTGATAGTATAGAATTACGCTTAGATTGAATAGAGCCAGCATGAGTCTATAGAATGACAGGCATACGATAGCAGGAATGGAATGGGATGGGCTCGGACAGATCTTAGCTTCCTCATTCGATTGCACGAATGAGTAATGATCTCCAGCACCACGAAGAGGTGTCTGTCCTATCGCTGGAGGCCATGAGAGCATGAGGGTGTGCGAGGACGCTCAAAACTGCAACAGTTGTAGCATCAAACTCTACATCACGGCGAGTCACGGTGAGTCACGGTGTGTGAGGACGCTCAAAACTGTAACAGTTGTAGCATCTAACTCTACATCACGGCGAGTCACGGTGTGCGAGGACGCTCAGAACTGCAACAGTTGTAGCATCAAACTCTACATCACGGCGAGTCACGGTGTGTGAGGACGCTCAAAACTATAACAGTTGTAGCATCTAACTCTACATCAAGGCGAGTCACGGCGAGTCGCGGTGTGCGAGGACGCTCAAAACTATAACAGTTGTAGCATCAAACTCTACATCACGGCGAGTCACGGTGTGCGAGGACGCTCAGAACTGCAACAGTTGTAGCATCTAACTCTACATCACGGCGAGTCACGGTGTGCGAAGACGCTCAAAACTGCAACAGTTGTAGCATCTAACTCTACATCACGGCGAGTCACGGTGTGCGAGGACGCTCAAAACTGCAACAGTTGTAGCATCTAACTCTACATCACGGCGAGTCACGGTGTGCGAGGACGCTCAAAACTGCAACAGTTGTAGCATCTAACTCTACATCACGGCGAGTCACGGTGTGCGAGGACGCTCAAAACTGCAACAGTTGTAGCATCTAACTCTACATCACGGCGAGTCACGGTGTGCGAGGACGCTCAAAACTGCAACAGTTGTAGCATCTAACTCTACATCACGGCGAGTCACGGTGAGTCACGGTGTGTGAGGACGCTCAGAACTGCAACAGTTGTAGCATCAAACTCTACATCACGGCGAGTCACGGCGAGTCACGGTGTGCGGAGAGCTTCTGACACTGGGGCAGACTTGGGCTTTTATGGTCCTCGTGCGGCATTCGACAAAGACCACATATGCAACTCGAGAGCCCCGCCTGACCGGCCTGCGAATGAAACGAACTGCTTGCCCAGCCCCCCAGCTGGGGCAGGGTGATGCACCACAACAGAAAGTTGATGACGCCAGATCCTGGTCTAGACAAACCTACGCCATGTTTTATCATCACGGATGCTTTACACTAAAATATACGTTTACTTTCTTACCATCGGGACAATATTTCTTGTAAATACACATCTATCTACGGGCCAGACCCACCAACAGTTAATAGGCTCCCAAGTCAATTTAAGAACGTGGAAATTAAATAAACCAGTCTATCGCAGCTTCTCGGTTATCTGATACCAACTAAACAATGAACCGGGAATTTCTAGCAGAGGTACTCCGCCCAGGTGCAATCCTAGTTACTACAAGTGTGCCGGGCATTCGGTTATTTTTTAATTTCCATCCTAGTCAACGCACACAACTTACTCTCTGTTTTTATGTGGCCATCAATTTGGCCGCGCAAATATGATGTTTCGGGAACCCAACGCCTCCAACAACGGATGATGGTGATGACCGACAAAACCCCATTGTGGGAAAGTTGGTGAATCCGATTTCAAGTGTTTATCAAGTAGTACATTTGCTCTCATTCATTTCCCCAAGCACTTCTTTTACTCCAACTGCAAGGTCAGAATGCTTCATCCCAACACGGTTGTCACCTTACTGTTTGTGGTTCTTCTTTGGCTGCTTAGTTTCCTAGCGAGTACAGTTAGGCTTCGCTACGGGCCGCATTTTATGGCCACCCGGTCGGGAGGTCTTTACCTACGTAAACGGCCTCTAATACTAAGTTTTTATTGTAAGACTTAGGTACTATTGGGATAAGATATAAAATATAAAATAAAATAATGAGTTCAAAGAATAACATTCGTTGGTTTTAAAAGGTCTTGTAATTTGATCTAAAACTTAACGAAATCGTGATGCGTTCGCAACAAGTATAGATATATATTTCTCAGAAACACGTTGAACATACGCACTCACGTACAAAGTCCTATCCACCCATCATACCAATGTAACCAATATAATTACCTTATGCTTAGAGCATTATATACCAGAATACAGTGTTATTAATTATCTACACTATAAGTCGTAGTTGAGGTAAGATGGTTGAGACAGGTAAATAACACGATAGATTTCCAGAACTAGTTGAACCCCCTAATTGGGACGCTTACATAAGCCGGTTGGCTGAGCACGGGCGCCCCGTGCTAAGCTGTTCCCCCGTGGCAGTGACTAAGGATATACACTTCACAATGAATCTCCGTCGTGCGGCAACTGACGCTCGTACCTTAGTGGCTATGGAATGCCTCCGGCACGTGTACCTGATTGTGGAATATTGGCTGTTTTGACAACAGAAGGACCCTTGACGTGACGGTTTTGCAAAAACTTTTGCATGCTCTCTTTATAACGTTGATGGGATTCCTCCTGCAGCATCAGTTGTTCACGTAGCTGCCGAATCTTGACCTTGTCTTGGTCATGTTGAATTATAAGCCGCTCGTTTTCTTCCTGAAGCTGTTGCGCTCGATTCACGCTTCCCCGTGCCCTTTTTGTCCTGCATTGGCCTGGGCGGTGCTGGGTGGCGGACACTGCGGTAGAATGGCCGGACGTAGCTCCTGTCCACTCTGGGCTTTGCGTTTTTGGGAGAGCCTGTGCCCGATATGTCGCCCGTGGACAATTCTAGTTGAGAAGGTGTTAGGAGTGCGATCAGACACAGCCGGGTGAAAATTGTCGACTTACGAGCATTGCATTTCGATGGACAGCGGCAGGCAATGGAGAGAGCTGAACATGGGTAGGGCCCATAGAGTTCTTGAAGCCAATGCTGGGAGCCTGTGGCCGTGAACATGGGCTGGGACGGGCCATTGCTGGTAGGCATACGCTTCTATCGAGAAGCACACGGAGGATGGGGGAAGAAGTCCGAGCTCCGGCGAGGAATGCGAAAGCCAATTGATGGGGTCAGACACGTGCCGAGCTCAGTCATCCCGCCCTTCCGCGAGATTCGGGGCCTATCAATATTGGGGTCGAGTGGTGCGAGTGTATGTGACTTCCATAGTACCTCACGGAGTGACCAGTGGCTGACTGGGGAACCGGATCAATCGATAGCCGTGTTTAGGATCCTGACTCTGAGCCGACCACAACAACCGCGAGAGGTCAGATCCACTGCCGTTGTCGGCAGCAAACCTAAATTGTAGATGGTGAATCGGATGTCAGAGCTCGAACCTTTACCTCGTGCGTCGTGGTTCGCGCATTCTATCCCTCCCGCCTGCGGACCCAGAGGCCGCCAGGCAAGGCAAATTTAACCGTCTTTCTTTTTTTCATTTAGCAATAAGCTTGGATACAATGAACTACATTAGCGAACTCCTCATTCGGTTGCCTATACATTTATACTGTAATTGTACCTAGCGGACTGACAGTAACATAAAAATCCGAGCCCGTAATTAATTCCATCGGGGTACAGGCGGGGCGAAAATTCAATAGCGCAATATGCAGATCCACTTCCAACCGTTGGTGGATCGGAGATGGACCTCCAGAGTATTGATCGACGGAGACAATTAATTGTTGTATGGCTCATGACCGGTAATATGTTCGCATGATTCTATGAGCCGTTGAATACTCCAGAGTTATGATGACATCTAGGACAAATGGGTAGCGGGCGGGTTGGCCATACCTCTATTGACACCCAGAAAGTAGCGCTAGAGCTCGGTATGCAAATGGTCAAATTGTGGAGGTAGAGGGTTCGTGACTGTAGAAGTGCGCTATTTGATGAATGTCGCTCACCATTTCGAAGCTCTAGCTTGATTATCCCGTCGACATCCCTGCAATTTCCCCTGCTGGACATCTTTAGCGACTTAGCTCCCATAACA